ATATTTTAGAAAGATTTTTGATAAGGTATTTTTTAAAGTTTTTTTGCTTAAAAGGATGAGTTCTTAATCATTTGGAAAACACAGCTATTCAGAAAGTGACTTTCTTGAGGGTTCCAAAAAATTAAAGCTTGATAGATAATTTAAGCAGATATTAACTAAAAAAAATAATTTTACTAGTCACTCATGTTAAACAATAAAGTGTCCTCAATTAGTTGTTAATTTTTCTTTATTTTTTTAAACCAATGGAGCTTATTTTTGAGATAGCCCAGTATAGAGTCCTCCTAAGCACCACACTACAATCCACATATTTGCTGCTGACATGAAACAAATGTAATATCCTTGACAATAGAAAGATAGCAAATGAAAAGTACAAGTCTCTCTCATAATTTCTCCCTACCTCCTGCACCCGGACATTCAAACATGACAGATGCAGACACACTTCGTTTCTCAGTCCCTTTCCTCAGCAATAAGTATTTAATAGTTTTTCATATTCATTCTTCAAAAACAAATATTAATGCCTATAAACACATGTCCTTTAGGAAATAGACAATATGGAATTTATCTGTTCCTAATTCACCAGTTTGCACTTTAATAGATTTTTTTTGTTTTCTCCCTTCAAATTCTGAAAATTAAGCTAAAAAAAAGACCTTTCCCAAATTCTACTTCCTAGGTATTCTCTTCTTTTGTATCAAAAACAAAACAAAAAAGCCACCAAGAGTATCCAAACTTCTAATATCAATGAATTTCCTAACTGACAAGAGCAAGAATAGTAATTTTTTTCTCCTAGAGAACTTTGGTTTTTAACTGTAACTTTCTTTCAATGAGCATTGTTTCACATAACTGAATTCAATTCACAATGTAACTGTTTACTATGTGCAAAGTACTATCCTGTATGTACAGGGTAAGACACAGCCTCACCCAGGAAGAGCTTGGTAGCAGGAGGGAAGGCAGACAGGAGAGAGAAGCAAATACTATAATAAGTTCCCTAAGGGTGAAGAGGCGGCTGGGACCCTGCCCGATTAAATGAAAAGGACAGCAAATTACTGGCCACTGACTGGTGAAAATGAACATTACGCCCACCCTTGTGAGCTTCTCGGCTTCCTGCCTGCTTCATTCTTATCACCACCCTCCCCCGCCCACCCTCACACTAAGCCATCTGGGCCTGCTTCCACATAACTTTGATCGCTATTAGATGGCAGTGGGATGGTGGACTTAGAATAATAGTGCCAAGGCCCAAAGTGACAAAGGAAAGTCAAACAATAAACAGTATTTTTCATTACTGCACAGATGGTTACATGTAATTTTCCTCCTTAATTATTTAAAATGTTGTCGTCTTACCTAAGGGGGGGTTTTGGGGATCCTACCCAGATCATGGAGGTAAAAAAGAAATAAGATTAGAATTCTGATGCTTTAAAAATGTGAGGAAAGATTCAATAAAGATACACACTCTTCTAAAGTACAAAACTATGTAATAGCTCTAGAGAGGTACATAAACCTCTGTTCTCTTCATGACAAAGAATGACAGTATGACAAATAATTTTGGCTTAAGTATTTTAGAGTAGTCATTATAAGACTCTGTTTTTATTCTAAAAGAGCCAGAACTCTAGAGACTAACAACTTGTCCTTCCCCTCATCTCCATTGCTTATGGTCCCCTTATAGAAATAACAAAAGATTGGAAGGAGAAAAAGGGTAGGAAATGTCAGCATGTGTAATTTTTCCATCAAGGCAGTGATTTATATGTGTGAACATAGCTGTGGATTTTTCAGAGAAACAATCTTCTTGCTTTGGGGCTGAATTTGCAAATAAGGCATTCAAATCTCTAGATAATAGTATCTACATGAAAATAAAAACCATGTGAAACTGAAATGGTTACTAAATATGGTGTACAGATTATTAGAAAAGTCTGTTAGTAAATACTAACATAGTGCTTCTTGCTTCAAATGTAATAATTTTAGATGTGAAAGTACTCATCTCTGATGAAAATTCAGGACTACAATAACATTGAATAGAATATTTATTGTGATTTTTTCCCCTGTGACATAAGATTGTTTATTTTTCCTAGCTCTCCAAACGACACAGTTGCCGAACCTCTTTCAGCTGGTCTTGCCTGAAAATAAGATAAAGATATTAGAAATAGATAAATATATACTCTAATTAAACCCCTTAATGTTGTCTTATGTTTAAAAAATTCCTCCACCCTAAGTAATAATAAAAAGCAAATGGAAACATGAACCCACTAAGAAAAATGATTTATCTTAATGTTACCTGTGAATCATGATATTTCCATCCTATCATGTAATAGATCTGATATGTGGCAGGGATTGAACCATCCTCATTTCTGTACATTTCTACAAAGACAAATAATGGTTAAAGTCTGAAAACATGCAAGTAGGAAAAGTAATCTTCTCGATAAAAATCATGCCCCGCAAAGACAAATGGATATCAGGATACTCCCTGGACTCCAAGAATGCCTCATATGAAAAATCCTCAACACTGATAAGGTGACAGTACAGAAACAGTAAGGACTGTCTGGAAAAAGGAAATGAGTGAAAGGATCTGTGTTTTAAAAGGAAGGACAAGAAATCTGATGGAGCCTTAACAAGAAAGGAAAAGGCACTGGTAATTTTAAGAGATAAACAAGACAGGGCCCAAGCTCCTCAGTGAGGCGCAGGTGGAAGAACGGTCAGCTCCCTTACCTCCATACACTGCGGCAGCCGCCAGCATTGTGTCTCGGTGCAGCAGCGCCTTTCTATTCCAAGCGCAGTTACTCTCACCCATTCCTAAAAATACACTACAGGCAGTTTGAGGCAATACAGTGAATACCCCGAGCAGCTCAATCAATATCACAGATTTAATCTTATTTCATCCAACTCTATTTCATTTTCTAATAGTTATGTAAAATAACCTAAACAATCTCATTTTGCTCTCAGATTACAGCTGGACTTCTTAGTGACTCTCAGGCAAAACCACCAGAAGCTTCTGGATATTAAGACAAGTGAAGTCAAATTTCAGGAGGAAAGTCCCATAAGCGCTCTTTACTTGCTAACACTAGTCTAAAGTGTGCCAGCTGGGCAAAAAGCAAGTTGACTGGCTCCTTAGGTGAGTCACTGGGAGTTGGCAAGTACCTTTCTAAGGATGCTACATTTTATCCCCTTTTAGCTGCTCTTTGAAAGAGAAAAGGACGCTGCTGCAATGCCCTTTTAAGCCATGGACGTATGAATAAATTAAGTATGATCATGAAACTTGGAAGAGGGCTTTAAGATTCATTAAATAGTATCAAAACTACGGTTTTCAGGTTTTACAATACTTAAATAATCTTAGATTAGGACTTTTCAGGGGCATTTTTCTTAATGTTTTAAAATTTGTTTTTAGATTTCTTCAAATTGATAGCTAAATGCTAGGGTTAATATTATTCTGCTGTTCATTAAAAATCAGTATATTTTATTTTTCTTTATGCATAAATTTAAATTACTTTGAGAGGCCATACTAGTCCTCAGAATTAAAATAAATTCAAAAGTAAAAATCCTTTATATTTATTCTCTATATACTACATGATCAAAAATCAGTTTCTTAGTTTTGTTTTTCTACTTTCACAAAAGAAACCAATTAAATTCAACATCAATGTTCTTTAGCAGTTTAAAAATAATCTCTCAAGTTTTCAATGGTCTTATTAAAAACAGTCAACAAATTAGCTGTAATAAATAAATCTTTTTCTTCTCTCCAATCTCAAAAGGCTCCTTTTATTCCTTAAAATAATGAATCTCTGACTAAAAGCAATGTCCCACATCCTGTGAATATAACAGACCCACCCAATTCATGAAGAACAATGACATATAAACTAGTAGATTAATCAACATGAAGAAAAAGGTGGATCTTATTTAGCTGCTGTCATGAAGCAGCTAGATGATCTCTGACCAATTGCTCTGGGTCTTTAAGGTGGCCAGACTCGATTATCTCTAAAGGCTTATCTCTTGGCAGGGGAAGGATGGGGGGCAGTTGGGGGACCGCAGACATTACATTCCAGGCTAAGGAAACAGCCTGCTTAAAATTATGTAGGATGATAATTAAAGATTATCTTTAATGCTAACATTTTAGACCCATTACATAATCTAATTTAAAAACATTCTCCTATAGAGTGAGTATCCAAGACTAGAAGTAAACTGGGACTCATTGGAAGAGTCTATTGCTGATGCTTGTGGTGCTTTCATTTCTGCTAATTTCCCATTGCTATGACTGACTTATACATTAGATAACAGGCAACTCCCGTGGAAAACAGGTTTAATTTTTTTAATGTAAATACTTAATGCATTTCTATGAAATTTCACATCAAATAACTGTTATTACAACATACTAAAATTATTAGGCATAATGCTCTTTCTGAAGGCCTGGCCTAGGTTTAACCTAGACATAATGCTTTGATATAGAAATTCAAGAGCACTACTATATAGCACAGTTAGTAACTCTGATGCTAGGGTAGCCCACCCCTCCCTCACAAGGGAGGTACGTGGCCATGGTGAACTTCTCTTCCTCTTGCAGTACTGTGGTGTGGTGCAGAGTCTAAACTTAGCCTTTGAGATCATAATACCAGGTCCGACCTTTATACAACCTGGAGTAAAGTCATTTAACCTCTATTAAAGTCAGTTTTGTCATCTTTGAAATGGAATAATACTTCATAATGCACCCTGGTGCATTTACTGAAGACCGCCTGGGAAACATATGTGGGGACCTCTAACCAGCCCTGGGCTTTGGGATAACTGCAAAATCTGGGAAGCAGGTAACTGTTTAAGACTCTCACAGTGTTTTTAAGGTTAAGTCCAACTACTTATAAAAAAAAATTTAATTTATTAAGGTTTACTAGAAACAATGCTATTGTCTAAAAGAAAATAACTGAACTTACCGTAAAACTACTGTGAAAGCCTCCAAAACTTTTCCTGCATTCATCGCTGATATACAACTTGTTTTGTACAATTAGGTAAACATTCTCGACTTTTTTCTGTGAATAATAATGGCAACTTAAATGAGAGACACCACAACCATCAAGAAAAAAGAAGAAAGCAATGTAAAATACCAAAAAGCAACCTGAAGGGAACACCATCTTCCAGCCTGCAAATCCACACACCTGGAAGTCTCCCAAGCTCCACTCCTCCTCCGTTCACTCCCAACCACTCTTCTTCCTATCTTTGCTGCCTCTGACCTTTTTACCAGTGGTTGAGATCCGAGCCAGACTGCTACACTTGGTTTCAATCCTGGCTCTCCCACTTACTAAATATATCACCTTGAGCCAGTTACTTCTCTCTGTGCCTCAATATCCTCATGCATAACAAGAGAGGTTAACTATGCTAGCTCTGAACTTACCTTCCTCATAAAATATGCTCATAAACAATGTTGGAGGATGAGCTCTAACACACTAATCTGTTTGTCTCTCCTCTGTGCAAAATTCTTCCAAGATACTACAAGGCTCATCTGATAAAATCTAGAAGCCTCTGATGGACTATCCTGCATCATTTTCCATCATCTCCCCATTCTACTTGTTCAAGCAATACCGAATTACTGCAGTTCCTTTGAAGTAAAGGAAATGTGTATCCTCCTCCATCTCTATAATTTTAAACAGGTTGTTTCCTTGGCCTAGAATGTAAAGCCTGCAACCCTACCCCCAAATCTGCACCCACCCTGGCAAACTCATTTTGACTTAGGTGCTGCCCCTTGTGCAAAAGCATCTCTTGACACCCTAAGCAGATTCAGGGGCTTTTTCTCTTGTGTTTCTCCCTATACTTAAAAACAAAATACTTAATTTTACAGTTAAATGTACACATCTGTCTATATGTGTATCTCTCTTCTAGAGCATAACTCCCTGAGATCAGGAACTATGTATTCCTATCATTGGCTCTGTGGTTGGCACATGGTAGATGCTCAATAAATGGTAAGTAAATGAATATAAAATCAACTAGTTAATGTTTATAACTACTTTGTTAAATATCACTTTTACATGTTATCTTCAGATAATTCTTCTTAATCTTCCTAAAGAAACATCTAAAACTAGAACATATGATTTGTGTAAAAAGCTTTACAAGAAAAGTGAGAAGCACTGGCAAATCCTCTTAAAGGTAAACAAAAGACAATTCCTCAAAATAATGACTGATTTAAAACCCAGGTTCCAACTGGGAGGGGGCATGCAGCAACTTTCTGGAGGCTGAAAATGTTCTATACCTTCATTTGGATGGTGGTTAAAAATCCAAGCAGCTGTACAGTTAAAATTAGTGCATTTTACTGAACATTTAACTTCAATGTAAACACATACACACAGATCAAGTATGCAGTATAGGACTCTGGATTCAATACATAAGTCTAGATTTAGTATAACCATGGACAAGTTACCTAACTTCTTGATATCTCAATTTGCTCATCTGTAAAATAGAATATTAGCAAACCTCACAGAGGTTTTTTGTACCTAGCACAGAGTAAGCACTGTATTTTTAAATCAGCAGGCAGCAGCCACTTCCAACCGATAGGTCTAATTTCTAGTCTCTTCTTTCTTGAAATGAATCATGAGCACAGCACTCATATAGCAGAACAAAAATAAATGCTGTATCTGAAAATTATTTTTATCACCAGAGTCTAAATGATAAAGTACCAGCCCACCATCATCTTTCAAGCCTTTGGATGAAGGGGCTCTGTGAGCACATCAGGGGGAGCCAAATGCTCAGGAGGAAATGTGTATTACTGGTCCCCTGTCATCTTGGGCATGCATATTTAAGGCTGCCAATGCTTCTATTAAATTATAATGGATAAAGAGTGACTATAATAGTAAGTTTTTGGCTACACATCTTTCTCCTTGTAATACTCAAAGGAGGCTGGATGATGGGTAAAATGGACCTGTTACAAACAGGTAGCTTTAAGAAGCAGTAAATCAGGTAAAAGTTTCAGAGCAAGAGTCAAGAAGGCAAGAGTTTGGCACTTAATTCTTCCACTAAGAGACAAGTGTTTTCTTTGGGCCTAATTTTTTATCTCACCTGTAACACGCAGATCAAGTAGTAACCAGAAGGCTATCAAGAGAAGCAAGTATAACGATGTTCACAAAAACTATAAATCTATAAACAAAGTATTTATTTTTATAATCCTCTTTAACTTTTCAGGATCCAGATTAAGGTTCCCTTGGGTAAATGTAGTTCTGGTTTCATAGAACAGACCTTTAATCTGTTCAGCTTCTCTCATTCATCAATACTGTTTAGGCCGTTGGACTACTTAACAAAGAACAAACCTCATAAATTCTTACTGAAGTTAAGTTGAAGCTCTCCTTTGAGAAAATCGTTCTCCAATAGCCCTCTCAGTGGTAGATATGTATTTTTACGTACCTCACCTCTTTCACAGTTGAGAGGTAGGGTCTCTGTTCTTGCTGCTCAAAGCCTCTTCCAGGCCATCACTTTCCTACCTTACTAAACCCGATAAGATGCACACTATGTGGCCAAAACCCTCCCCTACTCCTGCTTGCTGTCAAACATCAGGCTCCCAGTCCCTCTCCTCATTCATCAAAGGAACTGTCACCAAGTTCAGTTCACCTCTGTATCCCAAATCCTGCCGCCAACTTGGGTGACTTCAATGTTAATAAGCACCAAATACCATGATCCCTAAGATTTTTTAGTCTTCTCACCACTAATGGACTTCTCCATCACTCCAACATGGCCATTCCACCTGTAACATGTTCCAGACAAAATTATCCCTTTACTTCCAAAATCATCAATTCAAACATCCCATTTTCAGACTGTATCCTCCTGTCCTTCAAACGTGTTCAGGTATTTCAACCATGATCATTCAATCTTCAGATCACATGTGCATATCTCCTCTACTTACTCCCAGTCTATTAACTCGTTTTTAGCGTCTCTGGTCCATTATATCAATTACACTCTTGGAATTCCCTTTTGCCTTTGCCTCTCTCTACTAGCAAAGCCCCAAACCAAACTAACCCAGCTATCTGTTTTGGTTATCTGCCAAGTGTCATTAGAGAAAGTCAAAGATGTATTTGACTAACTTTAACACTTACTCTGATTGATTCACCTTCCTATTCTCTACAATGACTATTTCAAATGATCTCCACTCAATTCTGAAACTTCTGATCCTTTCAATCTCAGTATATGGCACTATTTTGTTTGACGAATAAAAGAGATCCATTGGATGGAAATTTCTTGCTATCAAATATGAACACCTATGTCCATTGGCACTATGCCTCTTCTCTTCCTTCTATGTCTCCCCACCCTCCTCAACAACCCTTTATCCAAGATCAATCCACCCTCAGCCTTTGTATCTCATCCCCCTTCTACCTTATCACATACCTGACAAATCAATTATCCCTTCTCTTTCTTCTAGAGTCACTTCTACAGAAGCACTTAGTCTTCCAATCAGCAGTTAAATAAATTCAAGTCTTAAGACAAAACAAAATGAAAAACCTCCCCCCACCTCATATTCCTCTCTTCTCCTCTGACACCTATAACCTTTCCATCTCTCACCTTCTTCACAGTCAAGCTTTTTGAGAGAATAGTAGATATTTGCTGTCTTTGCCTTCCACTTAATCTTCGACCTACCCCCATTACTTCTACTCCCATCACTCCAACAAAAGAGCTCATAGTACAGTCACCATAACCTTATTTCTAAATCTAATGAACTTCACTTCTCAGCAGCATTTGATGTTTTTGAGTGCTCCTTTGTTTTAAACTTTTTAGGTTCCCTTTGTTGTGAACTTCCCTTAGTTTACGTAATATTACACTTTTCTATGGTTTCTCCTTAACACCTTAGTAACTATTCTATCTCAGTCTCTTTGTAGGCTCATCCTTTTAGACAGTCACTATATACACATATATATGTTAGGTTCCTAAAGGCTCAGTATTAGGCGGCTTTCTCTTCTCACTCATGTTCTCGCTCTAGGCAATTGCTTCAAATACCAACTATTCACACATGAGTTACAATTTTTAAATCAGGCCAGTTGCCTCCTCTGTTACATACCCATATAGCTGACTGCCTACTTGACATCTCCTCTTAAGGTATCTGAAAACCACTTAAAACTCAACATATGCAAATGTGAACTCAAGAACTGTTCCTGCCCATACTTGGTCTTCTTCTACTATTTCCTCTATCAACAAAGGGCACCATCTATCTGGTTAAGTCAGACAAAACTCAGCAGTTATGTTTGAAATGTTGCTCTTTTTCATCAGCCCACATGTAATCCACCAGCAAGAACTTGTCATATTTACCTCCAAAATATCTCTAGAATCCATTCATGTCTCTCTATCCCTACTGCTACCACCTTAGTCCAAACTACTGCCATTTCTCAAGGAGCTTTACCACATTATGTCTCCCTACTAGTTTATCTGCCAATCCAATCCATTCTTTTCAAAATATAAATCTGGTATCTGAACCCCATTTCCTATCCCCATTAAAATGCCTCAAAGGGCATTTTAAGATAAAGGCAAACAATCTTAATGAGGACTATAAGACACTACTGTGGGAACTCTGGCTCCCATGTACCCACCAATTTAATCACTTAACTCTTCTCTTTACTCCCCACATTTCAGCCAAAATGCCCTTCTTTCGGTTCTTATTATGTACTTTCTTGCACATGCTGTTCTCCTTGCCTGGGACTCATTGCCCTCCCCTCTTTACCTCTTCATTTTTTTGAGCACCGTCACCATTTCTTTAGACAAGACTTTGGTGACTCTCTCAGACTGGGACTTACCCCCTTGACCCTACACTAACCCAACTACCTACTTTTTTGTGCCTGGACCTGAGCTGCCAACTGCTGCTGGAGAAAGTCATTAATGTATTCTACCATCCCCAAATACACCCTTCAAGAAAGTCCCGCCATCCTCTTATAGGTAGATATAGCACTATTTACCTCTACTTCACAGCACTCACCATAATTCTAATTTAACATTTATCTTCGTGGCAGGTGCCTGAGGTCTGCCTCATAAGCTCCCTGAAGACAGCCTGCCTTCTCATCACACATGTATCCCTAGTGCTTAGTCCCAATGCTTGCCATTGAGTTGGCTCTCAAAATAAGACTGCCAAATGGAGTCTGAAATGCTTTAAAGTGCCTTACCTTGTAAATCTTCCATCAATTCAAACATTCCAGGATAGTTAACTTGAATTTCATCAGTGTCCTATTTATAAAGAAAAAGAAATATTCATTTGACATTCATCTCAAAAAAAAATCCAGATTCAAAAAAAGGCCATAGAGACTACCCAGATCTCTCTCTCATGATAAGCAGGAAACTTCTCTACAATACTCTTCACAGATGTCATCTGGCTCATGCTTGATTTATGAAGATTTCAAATTGCAGAATAAATATTCACCATTTTATGAGAACTTTTCCTAAAACTATCAACTAGTTCTAGTTCTGTTACTGGGAACAACACAGAGTAAGTCTATTCTGTACTATGCAAACCATTAACCTCTTCTTCAAGTCTAAAAACTCTTCCAGGACACTGTAGGGGAACAGAATTTTTCTACCCCCCAAATATGTCTCTTTGGAATGAGGATGATTTTAGGCTGATTATTTTTAAGAAAAGGCTCAGGAAGAGCTTTTTACTCTTAACTGCCTAAAAGAATTTAGGTCCAAGTAGAACACTATCACCAGAGATATCCACAAAGAACTTGGGCTAGGTATGGTAAGGGGAATTTGGCAGGACTTGAAGACCTAAGACCTTTCTGTGTCCCACTGTCTCTGCATTTGTTTTTCCATCTTCATGTAAATTCCCTTCCTTCACTTTGAAGTTCCAGAATCCTACTCCCTCTCCATAGTTCAGAATGGTATATAAGCCCCAATTGCCTGACTCTCTGTAAGTCTCCATATTCTTATGCAGCCCAGTACATAGGAAATTTAATTTTATTTTCTCCTATTAATCTATCTCATGTCAGAAGAACCTAGAATAACAGAGAAATTTTTCCTCCCTGACACCACCATAACTTTTTTAGGGGGAGGGGTTAGTCTTCTGGACAAAATTTATAGATCATCACATGTTCTCACTGCATTTCTCTGTACCTAGTCAATATCAATCCCTTTTAAAATGTGGTACCCAGAATCAATCTAAACAGGCTCATCTTCCAAGATGTTTTCATTGTACTTCTAGTAATGCAAAACAAAACGACCAGTTCTTTTTTTATACCTGAGAGATACAAAACAAAGCAAGAATTTGCATACAATGTTGATCAAGGATATAAATCTGCTAAAATTTCAAATGTAAAGATTCCTTGACTTAGTAATTCCATTGCTAGAAACTGACCTGACAGACGTGCCAAGATTCTGTGAAAGGAAATTCACTGTAGCATTTTTTGAAAAAGTAAAAAATAAACAATAAACAAAACCCCAAATACAAACTGGAAACAATTTCAATGGCCATTAATAGAGAACTGGTTAAATAAAGTATACCTATATAATGAAATACTGTACAACTTTAAAAAAAAAAAAAGATTCAGTAGATATACATTTGTGGGGGAAAATCTCCAAGACATGTTATTGACTAAAAAGAAAAGAGTGCAATATAGAAAAAAAGCAACATATTGTTGCATATGTTGGTTTTAAGTGATATAACTGTATTCTGGTTTATGAGGAAAAATTGTTCTGAAAGGATGTATGTAACAGTTAACAAAGGTCACCTTCGGGGAGAAGGACAGGGTGCCAGAAGTCAGGAGGAGGAGACTTTTCACTTTAGACTTGCTCCGTATTATCTCATTCTATCTATACATTTTTTTAAATTTCCTTTTAGTTGTAAACATATGCATGGATTAGGTTGTGTGTGTACTTTTTAATAAGACCATCTCTGGGTAATCCATTTCGTCTATATATTTTTCTACATTAAGAAACTATTTTTAAAAAGAGATTCTAAGATTAAAAACAAATTCCTTCTAAACTAAAACCCAGCCATTAAGCAATATCCTTTGAAAAACATTTTTTCATGAAACCAACTAAAAGCACTATCACAATCAAAAGAGTACCACAATAGTTTTGTCAAAGGCCTTATTCAAGTTAAGAAGGACCATACCTGCAGTTTTCTCCTAATATACTAGTCTGGCAACTACATTTTAAAAGGAAATGAGCTTCACTTAGAATGCCAACTGGCTCTGAAAATAATTCACTAAGACGATCATAAATGAAAATATAACTATATGGTTATTATTTAACTTTAAAAATAAGAAACCAATGCAGTATGAAAGCAGTGTATCTAGTGTATGCAACATAAACCTGTATAAATGATTATATAAAAGCTTCTTTGGATGGAATTTTTAGAAAATGAGTTAAGATGCAATATTAACACAGCACTTCAGAGACAGTGTATATGTCTCAAGGAACAAATTTATAGATTTCTTATTAAATCAGCAACTCCCTAATTTTATAAACTATAAATAAAATTCTACACCAATACTTCTGTATCATATTCATGTTTGAGTCATTCAGTTCACTTCCAGAGAAGACTATGAAAGGTATTCTGAATTAACAGATTACCTGATTAACAGAAATGTAGGCTTTTAAATGCTATAATGTCAGGATAAGCATTTTTAATAGAAATTTAAAATGCATAACCCACTTTAAAACTGTAGAAAACCACACAGGTTAATACAATTTAACTTTCTTTTGAGGACTCAGAATATAAGTCCTATCTTTTTCCTAACAGGTAACACCTTTTTAGTCCCCGTATATTGCTGACTAACCTGTATGCCCTAGCACACATAATTCCTTACTGTCACCCCACAAACCTTTGCACTATTCCTTTCTGCGTCACTTCCATTCCCTCCTACATTTTTTAGCAGCTTTACACTCCCATTCACAGATTCTCTTTATTTCACTTCAGTTTGTAACACAGGAATATGGGACACAATTCTTAAGAGGGTGGACTCTAAAGATAATCTTTTTCTTATTATAAGTAAAGTAAATATTAGAGATTAATGCTTTAAACCAGTGGTTTCTGATCTATTTTCAGTCATCGTCCTCTTTCAAGATCTGATGAAAACTACGAGCTCTGTCATTTACATACAAACAACAAAAACAGGTTTTTTTACAATGCCTAGTGTTATTGGACCCTCTAAGGTCTACTGACAGGCCCTCTTTAAACCCAAAAACATCAGGCAGGGATTTGTCTGTTTTATTCACTGCTATATCCAAAGTATTTATAATAGTTACCTGGCACATAAAAGGTACTCAATAAATGCTTGTTGTAAGACTGAATAAATAAATGATAACACAATACAAGGACAGTCATTTCAGAATTGTTTCTATTGGCATAAAAACAACACCCCCTCCAAAAAAAAACTGGAACGAACCTAAATGTTGTTCATCATGGAAATAGTTAAATAAAACTGTGGTACAGTCATACTAGGGAATAACATGCAGAAGTTAAGGAGTCAAATATGACTCCATTGATTTGGAAAACAGTCTAAAATATACTGTTAAGAATGAAAAATAACTTTTAGAAATATATACATATATATGTATGTCCCTATGTAGTATAGCAAAGTATTTGTTTAAAAATATCTGGGACATTACATAAACTGACGATAATAGCTACTTCCAGGGCAGCAGTATTCAAAGTGTGGTCTGGAGAGTCCTTGGGTTTCTAGGGCCTTTTGGGGGATTCACGAAGTCAAATTATTTTCCTGATAATACTAAGATGCTATCTGACTTTTTCACCTCTCATTCTCTCATGAGTATACAATGGGATTTTTCAGAAGTTAAATTACATGTGATATTGCAATAGATGTGAACACAGTAGCAGACAAATGACTAGCTTTTATTATGCCATACATTAAAGAAATATGTAAAAATGTAAAGCAATGACTTCCTTCTCTCTCAATATTTTTTTCTTTCGCAAAAGTTATTTATATTAACATGTAGTAAGTTATTGCTAGTTTTAAATGAATAAACACTAAAATTGTTTCAATTTTTAATATGGTTAATATAGATAAATATAACCCACATAAACAAAATTAAGGTCCTCAATAATTTTAAGTGTGTAGAGAAGGTCATAAGACCAAAATTTTGAGAATTGTTACTCCCAGGAGAGAGCTAAGACTGGGGGACTAACAGGGAATGACACTTTTACTTTATCTGTAGAATAATGTTTACAACCAAAATGTTAATACATAATTAAAAATGTATTAAAAAATATACAGTGATCCCTCAACATACAATTACCTATACTGAGAATGTTTAGTTACAAAGCAGAACCCTCACATGAAGCAGTTTTCCCATTTTCAGCTGCCCAACATTTTAGAATACAGTATCTATTGATTCATATACTTAAAAGTTTGCAAAAGAGAAAACTTGAGGGTTGTCATCAGTTCCTAGCCTATTCTCTCCCCTTCCCTGGAAGCCCCTTTCTAACACCAGAGGCCCTGCAGGTCTATTCCCCTTCTTTCTATCAAAACAAGAAAAGATATGAAAATCCATTTTTGGTTGGTTGATTTTGTGAAATATAATGACACTAAATCACCTTAAACAGTTATTTTGCTTTTAAGCCTATCATCTCTAATTATGCAATGAGAAGCTTTCTTTATCAAGAAATTTCTATTTCCTCTTAATCAGGTTTAAAGACGTTTCTAGGCCTGAGGAGTTTAGAAAATCATAACAAGTCTACTCAACTGACCTCTGAAGGCAATAATGGGCATCCTTTAGAATTACTTTGCTGTTGAAAGGAGTTGGAAGGGGATAATCATTGTCTCTTCAGATGACTTCCTCTTGGAAGCCTTGGCCTTGAAAGTGCTAGGAGTAGAGTAAGGGGGAGAGAGGAAGGCAGGAGCTAATATTTGTAGAGCATCTACCAAGGTGCCGGCATTTCATACTCTTTATCTTATTTAATCCAAACAGCCATCTGAGGTGAGTAACATTTGCAAAAAAAAAAAGAATGCTCAGAAAGGTAAAGTAAATCCCCTAAATTCCCTTCACTAGTAAAGGGCAAGATAAGGATCCAAATTAGACCTGTCAGACACCAATGCCTTGTACCATCATTGCACCATGCTGACTCCATGCTGCTTCTGCCCTGGCGGCCTCTGGGTCCTCTTTCCAAATCTCTCCAGGCCTAATGGAATACAGCCCCCAGTCCAAACTTCTCTGACCCTGACCTAACCCCAGGCCTTGTAAATGCACGTTCTCTCATTTCTGCTTCATGTGGTACTATTCAATTGACAACTGATGGTAGAAGTAGTACTGTAAAAGTTCCTGTACATCCCCCTTTCCAGATCATCTGGACTGCTCTAATTCTCATATTACGCCTAACTCTGAATTTGAAGATTCTGATGGAGTTGTATGTCTTAGAAAATAGTTCCCTGTTAACTGAGGTACATTATTTTTGAACTATTTATTCAGGTAAAAAATACTAAAAATTTTACACTTCTGTCAACCAAGGTGTGTTTATACAAACTAAATTTAAAAAAGAGAGAAAGAGAGAGAGACACAGAGAGAGGAAGTACCAAAATCTTCACATAATAGAATCAATACCTACAGTTTTCTATCTTTATGATGAGAAGTTGTTTCTGAACTGTGTAATTAATGGGTTACTCAACTCTTGATAGTTACCACGGTCAGTGTGTTAAAGCCAGCTCTCCCAAGCAGATGTCCCAGGTCATTGACAGCAGTAAAAGGGGAAATGTGTGGAGAAAATCCTCCTTCCCTTTCCGTTTCTGCTAACTGTAATGAACACCGAAGTTCATAGAGTGTGTCACCTCCAAACATTGCACCAATAAAAACTCCATCTGGTTTTAAAACATAATGAATCTGTAATAAATACAAGACAACAAAACTATTCAAAATTTTATATATGTATAAATGTTAAAAGAATAAACAGATGGTGTCTAAATCAATATTTTAAGATTACCATTCTTATTTTGTCAAATAAATAATCAGATAATTTAATAAGTAACACCTAAGGCAACAACTGTCAGAAAGGCATTGTATAATATTGTTGAAAAGATAGACAATACATGCAACGATAGTATTATTATGTATAAAATATGTTGTATATATTTAAATTTTCTAACAATAGATACAACTTTACAATCAGAAAAGTACTGAAAGAAAAAAAAATTACAGTGTTGTAGATTGCAAAAAATCACAATTCTCCCTATATCTATGTCCTTTGAAATGACACTTCGTTATAACTCCCATCAAGAGATGTTGTCTATTTCCCCTCTCCTTGCATCTGGGCTGGCCTTGTGACTTGCTCTGGCCAAAGGAATGAAGTGCAAGTGACAGTGCATCTGTCAAGCCAAGGTCTCAAATGGCCTTGCATGCTTCCACCTGCTCTTTTGGGAGTCCAGTCTGGCCAACATGCTGTGATAAGCTAGGCTGGTAAAGGATGAGGGTCATGAGAAGCAGAGATCAGCTAGGCATCTCACCTGAAGCCATCCTTGACCAGCAAGCTCCAAAACAATCTAGCAGTGGATCAGACACACAGGTGAGCACAGTCAGAACCAGAAGAATTTCCTAAATCCAACCCAAACTCCTCATCCACAAAATCATAAGCTAAGAGAATTGTTATTTTAAACCACTGAGTTGGGGTGGCTTGATATGCAGAAAAAGCTAATTTATAGAGAAACCATTATGATTCATGACATTAACCTAGAAACACATTAGTTTTCTGTAAGAAGTAACTAACTTATTTTCTAACTTGAAAACAGAAACACTTTTTAATTGATAACTTAAGCAAAATAGAGGCTAGAGTGAATTCCAGAATCACAAATGTTTGCTCACTGACTCTCTTAAAACTATAATCTATTACTAGTTTTGACTCTGGCTATTTTCAACAATAAGAAATGTTACAGCAAAGGATGGATTCTGCAGTAAACCAGGACCTAAATTAGCAGGCTCTACTAATCAAAATATCCATCTGGAATTTATATTAAATATATTATTTAATTATATATTACAAAATATTTGTATATTATAAAATATCTTTATATTACAAAATGTAAAAATGTCTTTATTACAAAATATGAAGCAATTACAAAACAGTATATAAACAAACCAACTATAAAATCCTTAGTTCCTTCTGCCCCTTTATGTTACTTCCTTCTCTAGCCACCAAACTCTAATATAGCAAGTACCTAAGATTCAGTCCTCAGCTCTCTGCAGCTTTCCTCTACCTCAGAAGGCTTATCAATTCCCATGAATTTCACATAGATGATTTTCCGATCTTTATTTTTTGTCTGGACATCTTCGCAACAGTCAACTATGGACATTTATCTCTTGGCAAACTCACCCCAAAACACTTCCAGCACACGTGCAATTCTTATTCTCAAATTCCCCTTACCAATTGCCATATTTCTGTTAATTATTGTTTTTTATTTCCTTTATCTGATTACCATTCTTTCCTCTACTTTTACTAATTATTCTCCCAGACATCCAGACTCAAAATTTTATGATGAGCTTTGACTCCTCCCTCTTTGATCTTCAGATCTACCCAACCACCAAACTGTTGATTCTTCCTTTGCTGAGTCCTTAATACCTCTCTCTTCCTTTTAACTCTTACAATTGGCAACTAGGTTTAGTTTATTTCATGTCTAGACCACTGAAACCATCTCTCTTCAGTTTAATCAACTTCTGGCATCAGCTTTCTAATCAGCAAAATGAAAATATCTTGCAGAGTTATTTAACATATATATAAAACAAACCATAGTGATTGGCAAATATTATATACCTAAGCTATGGTAGTTATCATCCTGCCCATCCTGTAGCTTTTTAATCACGTCGCTTTCCTCTTCAAAATTCTCCAATGGCTCTGAACTGTATAAAGAATAAACTGCAAATTCCTTAATCTGTCACCAAAGTCTTCTGAAACTGGGAGTCCCAATATACTTCATCTCCCAACGTTATGCTAATTCTCCAAACAGAATTCCTCTTTGTCCTTCTGTGCTCCTGAGGCTCTTATCCCTCCTACCTACCCTGATTCTGCCTTCCCATTCCAGATCTGACCTATGCTCTAAGGCCCTCCCATTCCAGATCTGACCTATGCTCTAAGGCCCTGTTTAAGTAATTCCTTCCTCTTGAATCTTTCTTGGCAGCCACAAGCCACAGTGATCTTCTTCTCTCCTCTGAATACAATGCTTTTTACCTACCACTCATTTGTTCACTAATAAATATCAACCAATAAACATTTACCTAGCACTCTCTAAGTATAAGGCATGGGGAAGATGCAAATATAAACAAATAGTTTTCCACCTACAAAACATTTAGAGGTAATTAAGGAGGAAAAGAAACACACTCAGAAAATATCTAATGATATCAATATTATTTTGTACAAGTTACTAAAGTTTTCATAATTATTTAAAACATCTCCATAATTAGATTTCTTGAATTCCCAGGGAGAGGGGAAATCATCCAACATACTTAATATGCCAAAGGGTGCCAAGTATATCCAGCCCACACATATTATTTCATTTGCTTCCTTTTCCAATGTTAGAAGTATTTAATGGAAAACATCTAAAAGTTTCTATGTGGAGACAGAAACGTCTTTGAGTTTCTAATAATAAGTAAAATAACAGAGGCTATTAGAATTAACATTACATTTCTTACCTGTTGAAGTGCTCTAGGAAGGTCATTCACCCAGTGCAAACTAAAATATGAAAACACAGTTATTCTAGCTCAATTCAAATAATAAATTAGTATAATTATCTCAAGTATAACGATAAGCCACAAAAAGGTATTAATTTCAAGTCTGAAATTGCATATCAAAATTCACCGATTGTTTGCATAAAAGTTTTAAAATAAAAAGTATTCCTAGGGGAAAACCTGCCTTCTTTCTGTCACACTAGAAAATGTGACAGTATTTTACTTTGCTGATATGATTATCTGTCCATTATTCTTCTCTGAATAAAGTAAAAGTCAATTTTTCCAAAAAAACATATAAATGGCCAGCAGGTACATGAAAAGATGCTCGACATCACTAATCATTAGGGAAATGCAAATCAAAACCACAATAAGATATAACCTTATACCTATTAGGATAGTTATTATCAAAAAGGCAAGAAATACTGGCAAAGATATGGAGTAAAGGGAACCTCTGTTGGTGGGAATATAAACTAGTACAGCCCCCATAGAAAACAGTATGGAAGTTCCTTAAAAAATTAAAAATTGAACTACCATATAACCCAGCAATCGCACTTCTAGGTATTTATCCGAAAGAAACAAAAACATTATTTTGAAGAGGCATCTGTGTCCCCATGTCAGTGCAGCATTATTCACAATAGCCAAGATATAGAAACAACCTAAGTGTCCATCAATGGATGAATGGATAAAAAAGATATGGTATCAATAGAATATTACTCAGCAATAAAAAAGGAGGAACTCCTGCCTTTTGGGGACAATATGGAGGGACCTTGAGGGCGTTATGCCAAGTGAAATAAGTCAGACAAAGAAAGAAATACTGTATGTTCACACTTATGTGCAGAATCTAAAAAGCCAAACTCATAGAAACAGAGAGTAGAATGGTGCGTGCCAGGAGCTGGAGGTCGAGGGAGACAGGGAGATGCTGATCAAAGGGTATAAACTCCCAGGTGTAAGATAAATAAAATTTGGGAATCTAATACACAGAATGGTGACTATAATTAACACTATATTATACACTTGAAGGTCTTTAGAAGAGTAGATCTTAGATGTTATTATCACACACATACATACAAAAAATTGCCATTATGTGATGGGATGGCAATGTTAACTAACATTATTGTGGTAATCCTTTTGCAATATATACATGTATCTGATCATCACATTGTACACCTTAAACTTACATATGCTATATATTAATAATAATTCAATAAAGCTGGGAAAAAAATAAAAGACATTCCTGTCCAGCACCTCATCTAAACAGTGATATTCTGAGAACTTATGTGAAGAAAGTAGTAAAAATAAGCATCTGACATGTTCAAGGAAGGTCATCAATTAAATCAATTAAGCTAGAGATATACAGTATTCTGAGTCTTACTTTCCCAGGAAAAAAATTTACAATAAGACCTATAATTTTCCCAAAGTAAACAGTTTTAGTCATCAAAAATTTAGCTAAGTGAGTTTTCTGATAAATTAACACCCCAGGTTTTTAAGATCAAAAAAGAAAACAAACAAATCCAGAGTTCTATATACTGAAAACTTAACTGAAGAAACTTCTTGCATTGTCTTTTGATTCTATTTGCCCTCTCACAGTGCATGGTGTTATATGACAGCAAAAAATCACAGTCTCCGTGGAATAGAGTCACACTTTGCTGATAGAGATGGCATCCTCTAATGCTGACTTCCAGAACAGCACTAAATACCCATTTCAAACCATACTGTATTAGCCTATATTTATCTTTCATGATGTTTTCTAACAATTATTAGATACTTTAAAAATTAAAGAGATCATATTATAGGCTCTATCACACTTGTGAAACTGAAAGCAACAGAATTAGTTAATTGCAAATAACAAGCAGATGAGCTAAAGTTAAAACTTGGATTCTGACTCCCTGCCCAAGGTTCTTTCCTTTATACCAAGGCTCTGTAATGTTTTATATTTCATGACGGATTCTGAATACTTTTCAAAATGGTTCAGCAATAGATTGTGAACACTCTTCTAAATTTGTTCAGCACACCTCAAAAAGCAGGGCAGGATTTACAAACTCACTGAAGAAAACAACAAGGGTGACCAACTTTCCCAATCTGCCTGGGACTGAGGGGTTTCTTGGGACACAGACCTTTTAGTGCTAGCACTGACAAACCATGACAATTGGTCACTCTAAAAACAGGTATCAAAAAGGTTGTACTGAGCATGTTGAATCTGTGAAAGAAAATCTGATAATAATAAGTCCGGAGAAATAAAGTACCATATAGAATATTTTATTTTCTCTATTACACACTAGTTCTTTGAGGACAGAATTCTTGTCTGAATTCCTTTATGTATTCCTCCAAAGCATCTTGCTCAGTGCTTGACATATCATTATTCAATAAATATTTATAATACATGCTTATGCAATAAATGTAGAGGGACGTGGTAGAAAGCACAAAGGGAAAAAGAATAACCTTAAGGACTACATTTCTGTGGAAAAGAATTAAAACTGAAGGAAATGCTAGCTTTTCCTTATTTACCAGAATGTGTTTATAAGGATGCTCTAACATTTTGAATACTGGAATCAGCATATGCTTTTAAACTCCCACTCCCATCAACATCAATTCCAAAATACTAAGTTACATCAGGGAAGAAAACCCTTCTATCACAAATGAGCTTTAGCAAATTGAGAAAAGTTGGGGAAAAAAACGTTTAGGTACTATAACATATTATCTCCACTAGGGAGCATGTAATCCATAATTCTTTACCAAAGAAATCTTACAGCTTATAAACCAAGGAAACTGGCTGAAAAAAAAAGGTATTAAGAATCTGCTCCATTTTTTTACCTTATAATATTAAAACTTTATAGCATAAATTATGTATTTATAACATTTATTTTTTAAAAGTACAAATGGATTACCAACCTTAAACTGCTAACCACCAGGTCAAATGTATTTTCTCTGAAAGGGAGGAATTCTTCATCAGCTAAAACACTGACAGTAGGAATTTCCATTTCTAAGGTATTCTTCTAATGGTTAAAAAAACAGAAGTTCAAAAATACATTTATATAAAATCTCAATTAACACAATCATTGTGTTAAACTTAAGTCAATGTTATATTTACTTGGCAGTTTCTATTCCTCCCTCCATCTGCCCCCCCGCCCCACGCCAAAAAAAAAGGTAGTCACAGAGAAGGCACTCAAAAAATATTTCGTAAATGACACTTAAAATCATCCAGAAAAACTGGCCAGCTTGTTGGAAAAACATAAACAGGCATACCTATCTCACACGAAAACAAATCTCAGAAAGCTAAAAGTTTCAGTGGAATAAATGAAGCCATAAAATTACTAGATGAAAATATGAGTGAACATTTTTATATTCATTGATGAAAATGCCTATGTAAACATGACTCAAAAGCCAGAAACTGTAAAAAATTTGATATATTTGATAAATTAAAAAAAAAAACTTCTAAAAAGCAATAAATAATGTAAACAACACACTTAGGAAAATATTCACAATATATATGATGATTTGTTAATATCCCTACAAAATAAGCTCTTACAAACCATTTAGAATAAAAACATGCCAAGGCTAAAGTAGATAAAAGACAAAGTATAGGCACATCACAAAATTACCTATAAAATTCACAAATTAAAAAATACCAATAACCAAATATGAGTAGCCAAAAGACATCAACAGTTATTTGGTTACACCAGTAATGAAAGAAATGCAAGTAAAAATAACGAGATTCTACTTTCTGCCTATCAGATTGACAGAAGACAAAACAACTGGCCCAATGATGCCAAAGAAAAAGAGAAAAAAGTACTTTCTTGTTAAAATTCAATCTTTCAAGATAAGTCCGGAATCCATAAATTCCATTATTAGGAATTTATTCCCAAGGAGAAAAATAAATGAAACACAAATTTGCTTTATATGATGATATTTTACACCCTTTAACACAAATTTATATAAAAACAATCATGGAATCATCATATAAATGCCCTTTAACACAAATTTATATAAAAACAATCATGGAATATTCATATATTGGAATACTATATAGCCATTTAAAAAGATGGAATATATGTGTGTCATTCACTGATATAAAAGAATGCCCTATTCTGTGAAAAACATGGCATGTTTGCATAATACCATTTGCATAAAATCTGTAGGATGGGGATATAGTTATAAATCTGCAAAGGTAGAGACCAAAATGTCACCAGTAGATGTCTCTGACAGGTGGGACTAGGGGTGATTTTTCCTTCCTATTTCCTGTATTGTTTAATTCTTTTTCATGTGTGTTATAAAGAACTAAAAATCAAACAAGGAGATAAGAAACCAATAGTGTTAAAAGTCTACCTACCAAAGCATTTTCTGCTATGTCTGCTTGAAAAAACTTCCCAACAGTTTCCTGCAAAAAATAAAGCTGATCAGATAATACAAAAACAAAAATCCAGTAATAAAACAAATCAAATGTCGAAATTGCTAATGTGATAGTTGCGGATTAATTTTCAGTTTAGTGAGAGTATTCTTCTGTATAAAACGAGTAGGGTACACAAATACCTTTAATAATACATATTAAGTTACACAGACTTAAATATATGCAGCCAACCTTATAGTTAATATATTTAACTACACTTACTAAAATAGAGAACACAGGTGTGAATAATCAACATCCTTAAATTTACTCCACTGGATTAAGGCTTATATATTAACTTTTCCAAAGCATAATTTGCTGAGAGCTAGTCCCCAGTCTTGTGCCACAAGACTTGGAATGGTTTTCCTGCCTTTTAGTTTTCTATTCAAAGAGTTTACAAAGAGTAAAGAAATACTTAACAAACACAGATACTTGGTGGGGGGCGGGGGGACTAAGTAGTTTTATTTTCCCTCTGTTTCACTTATTCTCTCTTCCTTCCAAGAGGAAAGGGTACAATAATAATTATTTCCCAGATTAATACTGACTACTAGGCTCTCCTTTTCTCCAGGGTCCTGCTCCCTTCATCATCGTCTCTACCAATCGTCAATCTGTCTTCTGTGTCTATTCTCCTCACCTTACAACAGGTATATGATGCCCATTCTTGAAAAATCTCCTCTAACCACCTTCTAGTTGTTCTGTTTGTAATCTACAATTCTACTTCGATCTTTTTCCTCAATTCTTGGTAATAGATTTCCACTTTCCTTGCTCTACTAAAACTATTTATGAAGATTACTAGTAACTTAATCACCAACTACAGTCTGTCTACTTTCAGTCCTACTTCATTTGACCTCTCTGAAGCACAGCACTGTTGATGGTCTCCTAGAAACTTCAGTAGTTTCTACTCTGGTCCCCCTCCTCAGCTAGAGAAGCCAATCCTTTCTACTTCATCTATATCCCTTTTTAAAGAACTTCCCTGCCCACAACTTGGAAAGGTTACCCTACCATTACCTGGCCACTGATGATTACATGAAGGCAACTGGTGTGCAGTAAATATTTGATTACAAGCTCTGAAAAAAAAAAAGTGCCCTGAGTTGTAGTGTTTGCCAGTTTCCATAGTGTAACTACTCCAAAAATGGCAGATTTCATGCCAACAAGATGTTGCTAAATGTATAGTTAGGAAGAGATGTGCACATTTGGCTCTCACAAGCCAGCTCTAGTACACCAGTACAAGGAGTAAAACTTAGGCCAATCAGACTACCTATCTCTGTCACTAACGAGAACATTTAAATCAAGAGACTCAGAGATGAGGAAGAAGTCTCCAGAGTTGGAATAGTATGTAGACTTCACGGTGGAGGCAGTGAGTTCTGGTAAATATTTAATAAGTGGCTTTTGGTAAGAGACTGCTTGTAGCATTTGCCAATTTCTGTGGTGAAAACACTCCCACAATGGCTGATTTCAAGCTATCAACATGATGTCACTGAACACAGATTTGGGAAATGCTAATAGTCAGCTCTCATGTGCTGGTATGAGCTAGCTTCAGCACACCAGAGGGTACAGGTTACTCATATTGGGGCCACATCCACTGATGAACATCAGAGATTATCTGCAGGGAAAAATAAGAAAGAAGGAAATCATGCAGCAATTACATAATCTCAGATTACACATGAACAAAAGGGCCTTCATGCTGACATTTCAAAGTCCCCATTCCTTGTCATACCTGTCTGTGACATAAAAAGCTCTAAGTAATAAATGTCCCTGTATTTCAACTGGCTTCAGTAGATTTCTGCTTCTTACAATCAAAAGATACTTTACTAAGACCCTTTCCATTAAACTTGCTATTCCTGGCATCCTTGTTGGCTCCTCCTCACTCTCTCACCCCTCAATACAACTGTGAAGGTTCCTTTCTAAATTCTTGCCCCAGAGAGCTTACATATTCCTATGGCTTCAATTGCCACCTCTGACAAAGGCTTCCAAATCAAAACAATAGCCTCCACTTTGCCAAACTTAACTTGTCTCACTTAATCTCTTGCCAACATGTGGAGATACATTATTGCTCATGTTTTACGAAAAATGAGACCTAGAGAAGTTGGGTAACTGGTCTAAGTATACATAGAAGGCAAGTGGCAGAGCTGAATATTGAATCCCATGTCAATCCTCCTCACCTCAACACCTCAATTCCTATTCCACATTTCCAACTACCTCAACTACATTTCCACTAATACATTCCATGATCACCTGAAATTCAATATACCTAGAATAGGAATACCCCTTGCTCCTTACCCCATTGCATCCGACTTTTTCTAGTTACTGAAGTCATAACTTCAAAGTTATCTTGCATTTATTCATGCAATAAGCATTTAATGAATCTTTATTGTGTGTTCTAGGTGATGGAAATTTAGGGATGAACAAAATGAGCAAATCTATAGAACTTATACCCCAGTAAAAGAGGCACCAAATAAACAAACATACATCAGGTGCTAATAAATGTTATGGAAACCAATAAAGCAACTAGTCAGTGGAGAATGGGGGCCCTATTTTACAGCACAGGCAAGGAAGGGATGGATCTTTGATGAGGGGTCATTTGAGCAAAGAACTGAGAGAGGTGAAGAAGGAAGCCACACAAATATTGTGAGGAAGAGCATAGAGGACAACAAGCACAATGCAAAGCCCTGGCCAGTTTGAGAAAGAGCAATGAGGCCAGTTGCTGAAAAGTGAGGAGTGAGGGGAAAGAGACAAGGTCACAGACATGATGGAGAGCCAAATCACTGAGGGCCTTATAGATAAAGATTCTGGATTATTACTAAGTTAGATAAGAAGCAACAGTTCTGAGCAGAGAACTAACAATGAACTGACTTGTTATTTAAAAGGATTACTTTGCTATGAGAATGGGCAAGGGTAGAAGGAAGAAGCCAATAAGGAGGCTACTACAATATTGACCAATATGGTAATAGGAAAGTGGTAAGAAGTGGTAGAAGTATATATTGTGAAATCCAAGTTAGATTTGTTATGGTATTCGATGTAGGAGGGGACAACACAAGAGGAATCAATAAATAAGTTTTTTGCCTTGAGCAACTAGAAGAACTGATTTGCCGTGCTCACTACATCTGATCAGTTATGACGTTCTGTGGATTCTAATAGGTATCTCTCATATATCCCTTGCTTTATATATTGCTTCCTCCATATAGGTGGCAGGTCTTTACCTCTCCACACTGCCTGCACTGCTTAACACAATCTCCTGTTTCGTCATCTCCCTTCTTCAATCTTTCTTGCATACCATCCTCAAATTAATCTGCCTTTTACATCATTATACCACATCCGACAGCATTCTACCTCTGTGCCTTTTCATCTGCCATGCCCTTACATCCATTGCCTATGAAATACCAATTCAGTTTCTTTCAAATCCCAGATAGGATTCTGTGTCTTTTCAGAAGCCTTTGACCACATGAACTCCTACTGAGTTTTTCACTCCCTTAAATACTGTTGCAGTTAAATAACTATACCATTTTTATGGCATTTACTAATATCAAATACAGTGTTTTGTGAGCCACACACACACACACACCCCCCACCCCGAGCCCAGACCCAAGAGCATGTTTTTTTAATGTAGATTTTATATAGAAACCTCACTTTACTCTGTGTGCTAATACAATAAATGAATATCTTTATGGTCTAAATTAGAAAATGCAAAATAAAATGATATAAGCATAATATAAGGGCTACTTATAATTAATCACACTGAAATTAATGTTTATTCCTAGCAAAAAAAAATTAGCTTAATCACATTTTCTAAATGAACATCTGATTTTATTGTGAATTATTAAAGACATATGAACAAAGTAGGAATAAAGAGCAATGTATCTTATCTAGTTTTTTAATTATTATTAAAATTATTGGGGTGACATTGCTCAACAAAATCCAATAAGTTTCAAGGATACAATTCAACAATATGTCATATATATTGCATTGTGTGTTCACCAACCATAGTTAGATTTCTTTCTGTCGCTACGTTTGACCTCTTTTACTCCTCCTTCCCTCCCCTCTCCTCTCTTTCTCTGGTAACTCATATGTAGATTTAAAGAAACTATCACTAGGAACACTGTATAAAATAGATTCCATGTAAAGAGAAAAGATTTTAAGGAAGTCTTTTTGTGAGGAAGGACACAAAATAACCACTGGTTCAACCACTTAAAAAAAAAACTTAGCGATTCTGATATAATCCAAATATGATTAGGAATTTCTTACTTTAAAATCAGGCAATTTTATTTCTCAAAATAAATTAAATCATAGAGTAAATATACCTTATTCAAATGTTGTGCTATGTAACCTCTTCCACAACCAACATCCAAAGCAAGGGGGAAATTTCTAAAAAACAGACACAGAAGTTACGTTTTGTTTGTAATAGTACTGTCCATAGAATAATTAAGTAAGATACTAATTTGAAAGTGAATGCAACTTTCAAAAAGTTATATTATCTGCCTTTTCTGCCTTGTTTGCAAGCTCTAACTCCCAGAGAACATACTGGACAGAGCAAGTTCACCTGGTCCAGCCACTCACAGGACCTCACAATCAATCGTCTTTTCATATGGTTGCTCCATGACATGAATGCAAAGAAGATTCCGTGGGGGTATTTTAATTTGATAATATATCCCGATAAAGAATGAAAAAAGTTAACGTAAATTAGCATGAAACTTTACTAATTATCTCTATTTCTCCAATTTGTTGAAGCAGCAGATGACTTAGAAATCATGTGAAATATCATGATGTATCAATGTTAAACTAAAATCAAAACAAAACAAAACACCAACTAAGTAACAGCTAACTTTTACTGCAATCTTACCAGGTTCAAAGCAGTATGCTAAGTGCTAGGAGTTAAATAAATCACCTAAAGGTCATTCAACTAAAAAGTAGCAATCAGAACTTGAATTCAGTCAGTTTGAATCCTGTACCAGAACTATTATCCTCTATGCTATGCTGTCTCCTCTAAATATATTGTGTCATACTAAATCGGTACACACATCTAATTGTAGGCTATAGGTTTATGAAAAACTTGTAAATAAAAAACTTAAAATTTTATCCACTGATAATATTTTTCCTATTGAAACCAAGAGTCCCTTTTCAATTTCTGTTAAGAGCCTATGTCGAAAATATAGAATACAGTGCACAGTTTGAGAACCACTGGTGAGAAAGAATGGTTTCTTTACCTAATGTCCTCTATCTTGATTGTGAACACAGGCACAGTGAAGTACACAGGCTTTGCAGTTAAGAAGACATGAGTTAGAATTCTGGGCCTGCAATTTACTGGCTCTGTACCAGACAAGTGATTTAATCTTGCTGGATTTTCAGTTTCCTCATCTATAAAATAGAAGTTATTACTTCCCTCTGGGTTGGTGTGAAAATTTTATGAAACAGTGCATGTATTTAGCACAGCACAAATGCTCAACAAAAGTTAGTTATAAATTATTATCACTAACTAAAACAGTATTAAGCCACAAATAGGACATTTAATAATCTGTGGGTTTAGTACTTTAAAAGCATCAAAAGATCAGTGCTGACAATTATAAACTACTCTTTCTAGTAACAGAATATTAGTGCTAGGACATTAAGATCGTTATTTTTAATCATTTAATTCCAAAGAATTAATATTAGTTTAAGACATGCTTTTAGTGATAATCACGTGTCTCTCCAGAGACTTGTTCAATACTATGATATAAAAACACTGTAAAATCCAAACTGATTTAGAAAATTTAATGTTTCTTTTATTAAATCACAAATGGCCTCAAATCCAGACAAATGAATACAGTTTAGAGAATTAACTATTTTTCAGATCATTAAAATAATGGAACTAATAAAACAGATGAAATGGGAGTGATTATTTGCAACAATAAAGCTTTTTTTTTAAATCTTACAAAATTAATTTATACTAAGGCTCTTTAGTAGCAAGGATATATCTAAAATATGAGAGTTTGTGATTTTACAAAATTCTCTTTTTTGTAGGCAAATGTACTAAATTAATCCCATATCGGTCTAATTTAATAGATGTCTTTTAAAAAAAGGAGCACAAAAAGTGATTTACTAACATCACAGAGCAATTCAACAACAAAGCCATTAACTATGGTTCCTGGTACGTAAACTCAAATCTGTAAAGCTTTCATTATGTCTAACATAGACCAAAGAATCTATCAAAGTTTTAATAATTACTTGAAGAAAGTATTCTTTTCTCAAATCTGCCTCTATATAATTGTCATAGAACATTTACTGCCATTAGGAATACTTAAGATAAAAGGCCAAAGTCTGATATAACCTGACTGGGAAACAAATCTAGGTAGATAGACTCTCCTTCACTCAGATGGTAAAAGATTCTGTTGTTTATTTTCAAGTGGGTTTAGTAAACCTTAAAAACTGACATGTAGTCAATTCTTTATCTCCATTTTTGGAACAATCTTTCCATTACTGACTTTTGGCCAAATCAAGTAGATCAGTCATTCAGACTTGGAGAGAAACTAGGTGTTGTGTGTTTCCATTCATTCTTTTTCTAGGCAACAATGAAGAAAATACACTAGCTCTCCCAGACATAAAAAAGAAGAGACTTAGAAAGTGATTAAAATCACTAATCCTGGTAATGAATTCCTCCAGGTTCTGCTATTCCAACTATCAGGCTCTCAGCATTTAATCTCTCATGTCTCAAGTCAAAAGTCGATTGTATTTTATTATTACTTGTCAATACATACCTGGGTATGTCATATACACGATCTGCGATCCGACTTCCAACCTAAAGGATTTCAAGAGGCAACGATGTACACAAGGTAAAAGAAGTAGGTTTAACAGAGAAGTAACACACTTTTTCCAGGATTCAACAATCCATACATTACTTATGTTTCAACATGTTTATAAAGACTTCCTTTTATTCTCTTTTCAATTTGACCACAGCAACTTTCTTTTCAGATCTGAATAGGAACATAAGATATTAAAATTTCCCAGGAAAAAAAAATTGGAGCAAATTACTTCAGAAGTCAATTTAAGGAAATTAAGACTAAACGTATTCGCTCATTCTCTTCTCAGAGCTCAATAATTGTTTGCTGCACTGGCTTGAAAGAGCTCGTTTTACTTGACTTCAATTTTGTTCCATCGCTGAAGAAACATTTACACAGGCCTGGGTTAGGTGTTGCCTGTCTAGAACCTGTCCTCAGTTCCTAGTCCACCAGGGCAGAGAGGAAGCGGTCTCTCAAACCAGCAAAGAGAAACCAAGATCTTAATGTATCTTAATTTGACCTTCCTAAACGTAAACCAGATCACTCCACTGCTTATAACCATTCAATAGCTTCACATTCTTTTACAGCAGTGCTGGCCAATAGAAAAACAATGAGAGCCACATGTGAAATTTAAAATTTTCTAGTAGCCACTTTAAATAAAGTAAAAAGAGAAGAAATTAATTTTTACGTATTATTTAACCCAATATATCAAAAGTATTTCAAAGTGTAATCAATATAAAAAGTTAATAGAGAAATATTTCACACTCTTATTTCATACTAAGTCATTGAAATCCAAGTGTACATTACACTTAACAGCACATCTCAATTGGACTATCCACTTTGCCTTGGACATACCTCGTAATTCAAGCACTTCCAGAGGAGTTCACTTTGCACATCATTTCTAATATGACTACCTTGTATTAATTATAAAAAGAACTCTCATATATGTTATGTCATTTATTCTAGTCCTGAACATTGGCAAGACCTCAAATTGTAACCCAGGAGCTTTTCTTGAAGAAGAATGGCCAGCAATGCAAAACTCTAAGTACATGCCATCATGAACCCAGAGAACAAAGAGTCAATCACCTGCTCAGGCCAGGGCTTGCCCTAAGTAGCTCAATAATTGTTTGCTGCATTGGCTTGAAAGAGCTCGTTTTACTTGACTTCAATTTTGTTCCATCGCTGAAGAAACATTTACACAGGCCTGGTTAGGTGTTGCCTGTCTAGAACCTGTCCTCAGTTCCTAGTCCACCAGGGCAGAGAGGAAGCGGTCTCTCAAACCAGCAAAGAGAAACCAAGATCTTAATGTATCTTAATTTGACCTTCCTAAACGTAAACCAGATCACTCCACTGCTTATAACCATTCAATAGCTTCACATTCTTTTACAGCAGTGCTGGCCAATAGAAAAACAATGAGAGCCACATGTGAAATTTAAAATTTTCTAGTAGCCACTTTAAATAAAGTAAAAAGAGAAGAAATTAATTTTTACGTATTATTTAACCCAATATATCAAAAGTATTTCAAAGTGTAATCAATATAAAAAGTTAATAGAGAAATATTTCACACTCTTATTTCATACTAAGTCATTGAAATCCAAGTGTACATTACACTTAACAGCACATCTCAATTGGACTATCCACTTTGCCTTGGACATACCTCGTAATTCAAGCAATATTTGCTGAGTGACTGAACGAAGGAACGAACGAACGAATAGCACCTTACAAATATCCGACCCCAGCCCTCCCGTGATTACAGTAGCGGCCCAGACAGGCAAGGCGCTGCTCAAGGTCACACAGCAAGGTAGGGTCGTTCCGGGCCTGGCCGGAGGCCCAGACCCAAAACCAAGACTCCGCGCTGCCCTACCCCGCCGCCCCAGACGAACTCACTTCGTCCTTCAGGTAGTCAAACTTCATAGGCTCAGGCTGCCGCGCCGCCCAGTTCTTCTGTTTCCTCTTCAAATCCCGGTCGAAGATATTTAGGGCTCTGGGCGAGGCGCTGCCCGAGGGAGAGCTGCCAGAGGCGGCCTTTCTGAGGCCGAGGTTCTTCGCGGGGACCCTCGCCACCGGAGGTCGCCGCCCCAGGAGGGAGAACCTGGTCAGCCGCAGCATCTCCCTGGATGACGCCACTTGCAGGCGCCTCTGTCGTGCGCATGCGCCGCCGCGGCTTCTTTAGACTAGAGCTCTTTGTAGGAGAAAAGAGGAAGTAGTTTGACCCAGTTCGCGTGCCGTTACGGCGGAGCGTCACGCGGAGGATTGTGGGTGTGGGTCTCACATGAGGTTCCGAGAGGGCTCCAACGAGGTGAGTGGAATTGGGTTCAACAGGGACTATGAAGCGAGCAGAAACAGTTCATGACAGCGTCTCCGGATTTGTGAAAGATGCGCCCTTCCTCTTTAGGGCCCAGAGTTCCTTGGTTCTGCTCAGGGTCTTGTCGAGGGACCTCAGTCCAATAGCTGCGCCAAAATAGCGTCGGGAAGGAGACCCTCGTTTTGGGCCACCCCAGTGTTCCCCGTGTTAGAGAGTAGATATAAGGGGAGGGTGGACCACGGAGCTGAGGGCTGGCGTTGGGGGTGAGGCCAGGTTGCCTTCTCCTCCTTGTGTATCAAGCGTTTGTCGAGTGCTTTTGTTCTAAACATTTATATACATTACCTCTGATAGTTGGATGAGACGGTATTTACGTCGTAACGGTGTTCGGTTAGTTAAAGGCTTTAATACATCTAAAGCTCTTTGGACATACCTGGCACATAGAAAGAGCTCGACATTGTTAATACTGTTTTTAAGCATGTAAGTTTTCTTGGTATATAAAAAGTTGTTTCTAATTTTAAAGAAAAAATACAGCTTTTTCATCAAGCCATGCTTTTGAAACAAAGTAACTCTACCCTGTTTGATTGGTTACTTTTTGCTTTTAGATTTCAGTGACTTTTGGCTTTGCAAAAATCAAATCTAGAGATACTAAATCATTAGTGGCTATTTCCAAGAAACAATACTGATTGTACACACACACAATATGTTTTGGAGGAGAATCAGTCATTTTGGGCCTTTATCACGTCTAAGATTAAAATATTGAAAGAAGTGATGTTTATTAACTAGAATGAGACCTTACCTGGTTCTTGAAGGATGGTCCCATCTAGAAGGAATTTTGTGGACTAAACCTGATGAGTTTGGTTTGTTTAGTTATGAGACTAGCCTTGTAGAACTAAAGGCTGTTTGAAGTAGCATGAGGTAAGTATTAACAGAATGGTATCAGAATGTGAAGAAAAAAATAAGACCAATTGAGGCTTTGAAATCTTTTAATTAACATTAGCTTTTAGCTTGTAACACATACAAGTATACAAATAGAAATATAGAAATTCTGAGTACAATTGGCTAGTAAGCATTTGCCCTTGAATTGTGCTTGCTTTGCCTTAAATTTATTTTTTCAAATGCTCTCTGTAATAGAGAACAAACCGGTGATTGCTAGATGGGAGGTGGTTTAGAGGGTGGGGAAAAAAGTTAAAGGGATTAAGAAGTGTCACAGGGATGTAAAGCACAGCATAGGGAATATTACAATATTACGATAATATTGTAGTATAAGTACATAGTGCCAGGTGGGTACTAGACTCATCTAGGGGAATCACTTTGTAAATTATATAAATGCTAACCACTGCGCTGTGCACATGAAACTAATATAATAATAAATGTCAACTTTAATAGAAAAAGTTATGGAGATGTATGGTAGAAGGAATATAGTCAATATTATAATAACTGTATGGTTTCAGATGGGTACTAGATTTATCAGGGTGATCATAAGTTATATAAAAGTCTAATCACTATGTTGTACAACTGAAACTAATATTGTATGTCAACTGTAATTGAAAAATTAAAAATACAGAAAAAAAATGTTCTGTAATCAAAAGAGAATATTCTGATAGTTTTTGGTTTTCTCCATGTGACTCAGAATAAGTTTCTAAATGAAATTAGACTTGACTTTGTTTGCATTTAACTTAGACTATATTGTGAATTAATATTCCCCCCAAATTCTCATTTCATTATTCCTAACAATTATTGTAACATTTGTTTTATTTTTTAGTATTTGGTTTCTTCAAGCATTTGTCCAGTCAGACGTTTAAAAATGGCATCCAAACAAGAAATAATGAGTGACCAGCGATTTAGGCGGATTACAAAGGACCCAAGATTTTGGGAAATGCCAGAAAAGGATCGAAAAGTCAAAATTGACAAGAGATTTCGAGCAATGTTTCATGACAAAAAGTTCAAGTTGAATTATGCTGTGGATAAAAGAGGACGCCCTGTCAACCACAGCACTACAGAGGACTTGAAACGTTTTTATGACCTTTCAGATTCTGATTCAGATCTCTCCGATGATGATAACAAAGCATTGAACCAAAAGAAAATGAAGAAGAAAAAAAAACAAACTAAAAACGAAATGGAATCAAAAAATCTAGTTGAAGAGAAAAAAAAAGAAAGCAAGAAAATTAGCCAAAAGGATTCTGGAAAGAAAAACAATTTAGATAACTCTGACACAATTCAGAAAATGAAAAACTCATGCAAATCTAAGAAGGTAGATTCAAAAATAAGTCCCAAGAAAGATAGTGAAAAATTTATAGCAGAAAGTACAAAAATGGAAAAAAACATTGTTCAACATAATACAGACTCATGTCCCAAAGGAAGACCAAGGACAGTGGACTTGGGCGCTTCTGAAATTATGAAATCTCCCAAGAGCAAGTATTCTGAGACAAAAAGACAAATGCAATCAGGTCCGTTGGAAAAAATTAAGGATTCTTTGTAGTGCGTTGTTTATTTTTATTCTGATCTTGTAAAAAAAGTAAGCATATATAATAAGTATTTTCATAGTCTAATGGGAATTGTCAGGTGCTTATTTGAAGGTATAAAGATACGAAAAAAAAATACCATATAGTCACTATTAATTTTTGATTTGGTTCTGTAATGGCTAGAAGAGATATAAACATTTAAGTCGTGAGGCTAAACAAATTTGGTGGCTGCTGGTAAGAGCTATATTCTCTAATCACATAGTGTTATACTTATCAAGTGATAAGAAGAGGTATGTCTGAAGAAAATAGTATAGTTGAGTGCTCATTCCTTCATTTTATTGACAGAACGTGAATAAGACATGGTTCCCCTCTCAGAGCTACTGCTAGCCTATATAATGCCTGTACAAATAAAAAAAATATGTCCTGGACATACAACTCAGTTCGGTGAGGTATAGCACCTTTGAGTGAAGCAACAGGTTCTTTTCCACTAAACAGACATAGCCCCCTGCATAGTACATAATATGGTGAATGGAATTTGGCCTTGATTTCAGCTTTTCTTGCCCCTTTGCAGATCCCCTATTGCAAATAGCAGCTTGCTAAACTAAGCAGTTGCCTTTGTTAAAAGAAGCACTACCTAATAGAAATACATAATTTTGAGTTTCCAAGTAGACACACTAAAAAGTAAAAAGAAACAGGTGAAATTAATATTGTTTTATTTAACCTAATATATCCAAAAAAAATTTCAATGTGTAATCAATTTTAAAAATGTAATGGGATATTTTACATTCTATTTTATACTAATCTCAAATTGGATAAGTCACATTTCAGGTGCTCATTGTCTGCTGGCTACCATATCAGACAGTGCAGATCTAAAGTGGAAGAAATTAGAACCATAATATAAAATAGAATAATTTTAAGTGCCATAGAAGATGTTTAGCAGAGGTCTATAGAATTTGGAGGAATAGGTCACTCAAGATAGAGTAATCAGAGAAAAATTCATATGTGATGTGCTATTTTGGTAGGGATTTGGAAAGATTAAATTTGGAGACAAAAATTTGTAGAGTATTCTACATGGAAAGGACTTTGTGAGCAAAGATATATGGTTGGGTATGTTCAGAAGAGATCAGTATTCCCATTTGATTAGTAATAAGATCTCTGAAGGAGTGAGCAGATAATATAACTAGAAATGGCTGTTTGGAATGAAATAAGAAACATCTGATTTTAGTTCATATTTACATATTTATTAAGCTTATTAAAATTTTGCGTCACCGCTGGCAGCAGTAAATGGTGAGTGTAGGTGTTGCTGGTTGATATTATAACTGAAAATTGGTGATATTCAGATTAGTTAGACAAAGGCTGGTTATAATTACAGGACCCAAGAAAGGTAGGCATCAGGAAAAGGCAGAAATCTTGACAGGCTGAGATCACATTGGGAAGGTAGGACAGAATTCTAAATAGCAAGGATTAGGGGGGTCAGGTATATGGGATCCCATTCCATTTGTAGTGAAACCAGGCAGCAAAGTAAGATATAAGGAAAAGGGATAGGAGAAGTCTGGTTACTGATTGGACAATTAAGACCAAAATGAGAACAATAATAAGGTTGGTTTGATGCTGAATTTGTGATGTAAGTTAGTCTAGCATACTTTAAATTTCACTAGATTTAGGGCACTAGATCAATATAATGTATCCAAATCTTGGATTGATTTTACAGAATCATTTTATATATCTTTAATATTCTAAATAACCTTGAGAAATTAGGATTTATCAATCAGGAAACAGGGTTAAAGTGATTTATGTGAGGATACACAGGGCTGGGCCTGCAACTCAAGTCTTTGAATCTTTCTACCGCACATGTCATGTACTGTAGTTCCACAGTCTAGAAAAGGCATTATCTATAAATAGGAATTAAGTGACTGTCTATAACCATCTTTTGTTCGTTAGTCATCAGTTATCATTCCAGCAGCTGCTGTGTGCCGGAGATTTTTTTAGGTGCTATTAAGTGAAAGTGATGTGAGGAGTTGAAGTTTGGTATTATGTGTCATTTTAAGTTGCCGATGCCCAGTACTTGCCCTCTAAGAATTTATTTTAAGTAAATAATTTGACATGCGTGCAAAAAATTTGCATTGTAGCATTGTATTTAAATTGTTTTAAAAAGTAACATAAATCATTAGGAGATTGGATGTGGTATATCCAAACATGACTGTGATATATGCAGTTTAAAAAATAGGTTACAAAATAGCATAAATGGTATGACCAGCTACTTAAAAATAAATTAGTGGTTATGTCATAGAAAACAAACTTAGGGAGTTATGTAGGAAAATAACTAACTACCCACTTATCTGAGGGAAAAATTCATCCTTTCTTTATATTTTCTTAATTTTTTTGCAACAAGCATTCATTACTTTTATAATTAGGCAGAAAATGATGTTTTTTGGTTTTTGGTTTTTTTCAAGTAGCTGGATAAGTAGTAGTGTTTACAGTTACTGCTAGAGCAGTACCATTTAGGAATAAGAGGTAATCCCACATTATCAAGCATAAAGCTTTGTACATGTTGGGCTCTGAGCAAAGATTGAATAAACACTCTGAATATATTTGATTTTGCAAAAAATATTAAAATACTAGATGTCTTTAAATTTCTTATGTATCACACTCAAAGTATGATATGTGTACCACTGTCATGTGAAAAGGTGTGAGATGTTACTCAGCTTTTTTTTTATGTTAATGGTTATGTATTTATTTCATCATCTTAAGAAAAAACATAACCACTACATCTCATCTGTGATTTCAAGGATATTACTTAGAACAAAGCTAATTTTTAAAATTTAATTTAAAAATATTTAATTTAATGAAAAATATCAGTGATATGTAAAAACCATAAAAGTAATATGATGACTAATGCTTCAGAAATATTGCATTGGTAGATGGAGCTGGGTCCCTAAGGTATTATCTCTGAGCATGTTGCTTAAAAGTGAATTCTGTTGCTTACCTTAGTATGGTGATGTTTTTCTGATCTCACAAATAGAACTTACGATAATGCCCTTTTTCAGCTTTTTCACAGCTACTAGTTAGTTACTTTTTATTACTCCTCACACTCTTGTGGTACTAAAATAAAAGCCCATTCCTACTTTTCCTCCTGAAAAAAATCCTTTCCATTTAGTTTCAGGTCAAATGGCATCTTTGTGAAGCCTTCCTTATAAATATCTCCCCGCAGGCAGATTTAGATGTTTCTTTCTCTCTGTGATGCTTTAGAACATAGATTCATAAATCAGTAAACAATTTATTTTAGTTTATGAACCCATCAAGAGCATGGAATCACATTAGAAATCATCTCCCTTTTCCCTTTCCCTAACCCAATGCTTTGTACGTAGTAGATAATAAATACTTGGTCAATGAATGACTATTATAAGATTATAGGACCAAGAGAAAAACTAAGTTCCAATTTCATTCCTAGTCTTCAACTAAGTTCCAATTTAAAGATGCAAAAAAATATATAAGATATCTATACACAGACACGCCCATAGATAGGGTATGATTGTTTTAGAAATAGAAAATGAGCCCTTCCAGAGTTGTGAGGGCTTAAAATATCCAATTTAAGTGAAAACAGTCTTCCACTCATGTATTGCTAACTGTAAGTTACAAAGTTCAAGATTTAGCAGAAAAGTCATTCTTTCACTGCCTTCGTGGATAATGTTATTCACATCACAACTTGTTATCACTACACATGTTTGAGTCAAAAATTTTATCTCCAGCCCAGACTTCTCTGAACTATAGACTCCACAGCCAGTGCCCTTGCTATGTCTTCTTGGATGACTCAGAGGCACTTCAAATTCAACATATTCAAAACTGAACTCATGATCTACTTATACCAAACAGTTTCTCTTCCAACATTGCTTGTTTATCTGTACAGCTAGCTCCACTAACCAAGAAGATAAGACTCATTTTTGGCACTTCTAAAACTCCTTTGCCCTGTACCGTGCACCTGTCACCAATTACTATTGGTTTTACCGTCTAACTGATTGTGAAAGTCAGAGGGAGCTCTGTTCATTTCTCTACATTTTTATAACCACCAACTTAGTGATACCTTCATTTCTTGCCAAGAGTACATACTACCCTTCTAATTCTCTATTTACATCCACTCTTCACTCACTCCAGTTTTCGGTAACATAGTCAAGGTAGTCTCCTCAACATGCAAATCTAATGTCTTTCCTTCTGAAAATAACAGTGGCTTTTCATTACTTTACAACAAAGTCCAAATCTTCTACATGGTTTTTGGATAGTTTAACCCTTTAGTTTAATTTCTTACTTTTCTTATGGCTGTCTGCAATCCAGACATGCCTTCCAGCTTTTTTCTATTAGTGGAGCTTTCCCTATGCTTTTGGTGTTTAAACATTTCCGTAATCTATTTGTCTAACCTTGACTACTTAAATCCTCTTTATCCTTCAAGTAGCAACTCAGGACTCGCTTAAGGACCCCTATTATATGTTCTCATAGCATCATATAACAGTCCTTCTTGGCACTTTTCCTAGTATAATTGTGTGTGTGTGTGTGTGTGTGTGTGTGTATTTAAAGTGTATTGATTTGGTTTTATTTGATCAGTGTCTGTCTATCTGTCCTCTTCACTTGACTGGAGGTTCATTGAGGGCATTGATTGCTTCTCTTTTACCAGTGATTATATATTGAGCACCTAATGAGTACTCCATAAATATTGAATGAATGTATGAATCTACTTATATGACCTGGGTATATATTAAGATTTCTATTAACTTGGTTAGACATGAATTTTGCTGAATTTATATTTAATCTGTTTCATAGAAATTATATTTTTACTGGATTTGAGGTCAAAATAACTTGAATTCAATAAAATTCAGTGTTTATATTTTCTTAATTTCTCTCTCTAACTTTTTTGCAGTGGTTCCACTTAGAATAGCAAGAGACAATGATGATTATGAAAACTCAATGGGTGGTAAAATCCTTGATAAAAATGCTCTGGAGGAAAATTTAGAAAGTGCCAGTGAGATAGGAGGTGATGAAGAATCTGAAGATGGAATTACAGGCGTTAGATCTTCAGCTGATGATAATGACGATGATGATAATAATGATGAAGAAAATGAGGAGGAGGAGGATGAAAGTGATGATAGTGAGATTGATGATGAAAGTGACAGTGGCCCTGATCTTGCAAGAGGCAAAGGAAATATAGAAACTAGTTCGGAAGATGAAGAAGATATGGCAGATGTACTTCCAGAGGAATCTGGTTTTGAGCATGCTTGGAGAGAACTAGATAAAGATGCTCCTCGGGGTGATGAGGTAATCTTTTGAATAAGATTGTTTGTGAAGAACATAGTACAAGTAGCTTTTATGGATGGTGGGACTGATGTCATTAAGTGGGAGAAGCTTTACTGGTAAATGATACTCTTGATGATTCTGATTAAAACTTCTTGGTATGGAATATGTCTATAGTAATTAGATATCTGTCCAAGCAGATAAAGGAAGAAGTTCTACATAAATAAACATCACATGAAATTTGTAGAAAATAACTTGATTACAAATTCTATTGCACCTGTTAGAAATGCTACAGGGTTCCATACTCAACTTCCCCATTCCTGCATGACTGGCAAAATAGCTTAACAAAATCAGCTCGTCATCACGTTCTGATTCAGGAACCAAAAACCAAGCTAGAGAAAGTGCTTATCTGTTGACAGATAACTTGTATGACTAATCTGAAGTTGTCTTTTACATATTGAAACTCCTTAGGTAAATATTTTATAGATTATTTCAGATTTTGGGAGAAGGAAGACATTATATTTTAGCATCTTTATTATGCATGCATCAGGAATGACATACATTATATAATATAATTTTTCTTATTTCTCAGATTACACATCGATTAGCAGTTTGCAACATGGACTGGGATAGATTAAAGGCAAAAGATTTGCTGGCTCTGTTCAATTCATTTAAACCTAAAGGAGGAGTTATATTTTCTGTAAAGGTGAGAATTGATTTCATTTTGAAGTAAGTATTTCTAAGTGTTTAAAGTTGATTTTCTTTTATTTTCTTTTACTGTTTAATGCATAACTTTGTCGAAGGCATACATTTTTTCCCCCCAGCTTTATTGAAATATAATAGACAGTTGCTTGTATTTACATTGTACAATTCAATTAGTTTTTTTTTTTTTCCCAGTTATAGCTGGCCTACAATAATATATTAGTTTCAGTTGTACAGCATAGTGGTTAGAGATCTGTATAACTTACAAGGTGATCACCCCACTAAATTTATTACCCCTCTTCTCCATTGCATATTTATTACGTTATTAATTATTTTCTTTATGTTACACTTTTATATCTCCATGTCTTTTTTGTAACTATCCATTTGTACTTCTTAATCCCTTTGCCTTTTTTTGCTGTTTCCCTCCTTCACTCATCTAGTAGCCCTCAAAATATTCTCTTTACGAGTTTATTTCCACTTTTGTTGTTGTTGTTTTTTATTTTTTTCTTTAAATTCCACATGTACGTTATATCATGCGATATTTTACTCTATCCAACGCATTTCATGCAGTGCAATATACCCTCTGGGTCCATCAAGGCAATATCTTTTTCCATCCCCTTCCTTTTAGTCTGTGTTTTTTAATCTGAAGTGAGTCTCTTGTAGGCAGCATGTGTAAGGGCCTTGTTTTCTTATTCATTCAGCCACTCTATCTTTTGGTTGGAGCACTTAATTCTTTTCCATTTGAAGTACTTGTGGATAGGAATGTCATTATTACTATTCTTCATTCATGCTTTTCTTAAAGAAGTCCCTTCAACATTTCCTATAATACTGGCTTGGCGTTGATGAATTCCTTTAGCTTATTTTTGTCTGGAAAGCTCTTTATCTGTCCTTGGACTCTAAATTAGCTTTGCTGGATAAAGTGTTCTTGGTTATAGATCCCGGGTTTTCATCACGTTGAATATTTTGTGCCAAACCTTTCTGTCCTGCATAGTTTCTTTTGAGAAATCAGCTGCCAGTCTTATTAGTCCCTTGTAGATAACTAACTGCTTTTGTCTTGCTGCTTTTAAGCTTCTCTCTTTGTATTTAACCTTTGACATTTTAACTATAACGTGTCTTGGTGTGAGCCTCTTTGGGTTCATCTTTTTTGGGACTCTCTGAGCTTTGTGGGATTGTATGTCTATTTCCTTCACCAGATTAGGGAAGTTTTCCATTGTTATTTCATCAAATAGCTCTTCTTATTTTCCTTGAGGTACTCCCATGACACAGATATTTTTTCATTTAATTGTGTCCCATAGGCTCCTTAAATTATTATTATAGTCTTGGCTTTTATCTTGCTGGTCTGATTAAGTATCCTTGGCTTCCCCATCCTTTATATAGGTGGTTCGATCCTCTTCTTTATCTACTCTGTTGATTCCCTCTAATATACTCATCATCTCAGATAATGTGTCCTTCGTTTCAGACTGGTTCCCTGTTATAATTTCCATTTCAAGTTTTATGTTTTTTATCTCTTTGTTAAAGTTCTCACTGAATTCATCTACACTTTCCCTGAGTTTATTGGTCATCTTTGTAACCAGTGTTTTGAACTCTGCATCTGTTACATTGCTTGACGCCATTATTCCTGGATCTCTGTTCTGTTCTCTCATATGGTTTCTGCTCCTTTGTCTTCCCATTTTGACTGTCTTTCTGTGTATGTTTATATGTACTAATCAAAGCTCCTAAGTCTCCTGGTCTTATTAGCATTATTTTGTGTAGTAGATGTCCAATGGCATGGTCCTGAGAGGGGTTCAGCTGCAGGCCAAGTTTAGCCCCAGTTTGTTCCCCTCTGGGGCCACTTGTTTAGATAGCAAGCAGTCCACAGATGCTGAGCTTATAGTTGCCTCAAGAGACCACACCAGAAATTGGGGCCCGCTGCTACCAGTGTGTCTTGGCACTGCTCAGCAAGGAGCATAGGACTCGCCGAGGACACAATTGGATGTGGCTTGGACAGGGCTGCAAGTTGCAGAGTTTCAGGGAATCTTCTGGGCAAAGCGACTTCTGTTATCTAGTTTGATGATGTCTCAGCTCTGGCGGTGCTGTTTCCGCACACTGGGAAGGGACAAGGCTCAACGGGAACAATGAATACCTCCAGCACTTCTGCCTAGGAGAGAGCCTCACCCCCGGCCCTCACTGACAACTCAGTGTTCCCCTGTAAGTCTCTGGTGCCTTCTGTGAATCCCACCTGGCGCTGGTGATCAGAACTAGCAGTTCCATCATCATGAAAGTCCGCTCGCGGATATGGACCCCTTAAGCAAGCAGCGTCTGCAGCTGCCAGTTACAGCTGCCATAACCTCTGTCCCACTCAGCTGCTCAGGACTGGGCAGCCTCGTGTCTTCACCCCCTCCTACTTTCTACCCTAGTTGTAGTACTTCTGTTTATCTAGATCTCAGGCAACTTTGCTTGCTGTTTTTGCTCTGTGTTTCTGTCACAACTTTGATTTGGTTACAAAAGAGATGAACAAAGCCTCTATCATCTATGCCATTTTTTCCACTTCTGATTCTCATTTTTTTTAAGCCATAGTTTTCTTTTCAAGGGAAATAATTTATCTGGAAATTGTTTAATACAGTTAAGAATGAAACTGATATAACAGGCTTCAAAGGTAGAATGGAAGAGGTAAAATTATTATTACTAATGGGTTATATGATTATGTATAATTTAAAAACCCACATAAATCAATTGAGAAGGTATTATCATACAAACTCAGTAAAGGGCCAGGGTATGAGATAAATATTTAAGGCCTTTTGAGCCACGCTTCTCTTGCTCAGGCCTGCTTCTACAACTGAAAGTGTACTTTCCCTTCTAATAAAACTTTTCTTTTATACTGTCAAAAAAAGAGGGGGGATAAATATTTAAGAAATAAATTGCATTCTTCATTACCAGCTTAACCAATTAAGAAAAAAAAATCTTATTTTATTAGCATTAGAAACATAAAGTCCTTGGAAATTACCTTAAACACATATGACCTATATGAAGAAAACTGTAACACTTGATAAATCTGAAAAACTTAAATAACTTTTGAGATACCATATTTCTAAAGAACCAGCATAGTGATTAAAAATCAGTCTTTCCAATATGACATACCTGCTTTCAAATCTTGATTATAATACGTGCTGTGTGATCTTGGGCATTTTGTTAACCTCTCAAATATGTTGTCTGACAAGTGGATATAACAATACTATCTAGTGTAGTTGTAAAGGTTAAATGAAAAGGATCTCATACTGAGTAGTACAGTGCCTGAAACAACTCTAAATTGTTATGTTTAATATTTAAAGATGTCAGTTCTCCAGTTTTAGTATAGTTTCAAAATCTCAGTTCAAGTGAAAGTTAAGAAAAAATATACCAGTAATCATCTAAAAGAATAAACAACAAGGATGATGAATAAATTTTGAAAATCATATCAGTATAAAAAGATTTATCCTACCAGTTTTAATATCTAAACATTTTCTAATGCTACGAGAATTAACAAGTTTGGGTAAAAATAGTGGGGCAAATTGATGGTATGGAATAGATAGAAAAGTTTGTATGATGATTTGATCATGATATTGGGACAAAGAGGCAAGTTTTTGTATAGAGAACTTAGTTCAGATCCTCACCTCATAAGAATCCAAAATGAACAACAGATGAAGTAAAGAAAAAAAATTTAAAGACCACAGAAACAGAATAAAATAGAATTGTATTTTTGTTAAATCTTGTGTTTAGGAGATTGGTAGTAGGAATTTCTAGACTTATGAAAAAGAAAAGAAAACAAAGAATCAACAGATCTGTTTACATATATTTACATATATATTTAAAAATTCTACATGAAGACCTATTATATACAACTCAAAGTATTAAGAAAAACTCAAATCTCCTGGTTGATAAATGGCATATTTCACACGATTCAAAAAAATATGGATTAGTTAAATGTATATGCCCAGTAGTGTCAGAACAGTGCACATTAATACAATTATATTTCTCGACTCTCAGAAGTAGCCAGTATAGGATGAAAATACTAAATTCTGGTAAGGATGAATCCTTTTTCTTATATCAGGACCATATCTATGTGATGAGATTGTTATCAGTCCCATTCTATTAAAAGGAATGTCTTTAAAAGAAAGCATTACATAAATGGTATGACTTAGTTGAATATTTACAAAATTGTTTTTCTTCATTATGTTTTATATATTTTTTTAATCATTTTTCGTTTATTCATGTAAACTAGTTAATCCAGTCATTTTTAGTGTGCATGTTTACATTGAGTTCCTTGAGCTTAAAATCTTGTTTCGTTTTTCTTAATTTTTCCCTTGGATTCTCGAACTATCTTTTCCCAGTTGATGTATGGAGAACATATTCTATTTTTGTTCGTAAGCACCACATTTTTTACTCTCCAGCCAAAATGACTTGTTAAGGAGATTCCTCAGGGTGCTTTAGTTTCCTACAGCGGTTGTGGTCATTTTGCTGTTTTCATTGAGTCCATTTGTAACTCTTCAGAGTTCCTGATCTTAACAGGTCTGGATTTTGTAAGAAAAGAAGAGTATAAATTACATTGATCTTACTTTTTTGTGTTTAGATATATCCTTCGGAGTTTGGCAAGGAGAGGTTAAAGGAAGAGCAAGTTCAAGGACCAGTAGAGTTATTAAGTATTCCTGAAGATGCCCCTGAAAAGGACTGGTATGAAATCGCTATAGATAATAAAACTAAATCTCATAAATTCATGTTACTAATTCAGAAATCTAGCCACTTTTGCAAAGCAGATTAAAGTCTGTCAGAAGTGGCACACTATTACAGCAATACTTTGTGTGTACATTTCTATTTCTACACTCATGAGAATAATTGTAGCAGTTTTGAAAAACGTTTCATGATTAAACTGATTTAGAGTTCTCAGTTTCATTGCTCTGAATTAATAAGTTTTGCTTTTTTCTTGATATGTCGCTTTCCATATAAGTGGCATTAAAACTCTATTTGTCTTGAAATTATATAATTTTTCTAATTTGAAAATTAAATGGAAAAATTAAAAGAATGATTAAAAGTTCTTTGTCATGGTAATGTAGTATATAAAAAAATTAAGGTAGTCGTTAAACCACTAGATGGAGCCATATGTGCACTTAATAAAAATGGTGATTAAATATATTGATGGCAGAAGAGAGCAGATGCATACCCTCAAAGAATGTTGTAGTTAAGTGTAAATTAAACTTACAACCATTTAGACTTGACAACACATCATTTTTTATAATTAGAGCTAATGCTTTTCTAGCATATCTTATAATACAGTGGTTAATTGTCCATCAGTTTTACTCGAGAAGGTGTATATTGTACTGAAACAAACAAAATAACTGTTCTAAGAATTAAAATCAGTGGTAAGCACATGTAATTCTTATACTCTCCTTTTCCAGATACCAAATTCCAATTAAATTACCTAGTCTGTACCTTGTCAAAAATAATAAATTGAACTTTAGTATTTAATGTTCATAAAGGCAAAGTCATAAAGAATGGATTGGTATGAAAGTTGTAATATATTTTTCTTGAAACAATTACATTTGTTTCTTTAAAAGGATATTGGTATTTATGTTCCTGTATAAATAAGCTTAATGAGTTTTTTCCTTTTAGGACCTCTAGAGAAAAATTGAGAGATTATCAATTCAAACGATTAAAGTACTATTATGCAGTAGTAGACTGTGATTCTCCAGAAACAGCCGCTAAGCTTTATGAGGATTGTGACGGCCTGGAATTTGAAAGCAGTTGTTCATTCATAGATCTAAGGTAATCCAGTATGTGTCTTACCAATTTAATCTTGTAACACAGCATAATTGTAAGAAGTAAAAATATTAGAATGGGTAGTGCTGTCTGTTGTTTAAAAGAGGATTTTTTGTTTTTTGATGAACTCTGTCTTATGGAATATCACCCTTAAGAAGGAAAACTTGAATGAGAAAATGCTGAAATGAGTCACCCTACATTTATGTCCTTTCAAATCTGTTGGCTATGTTTTTAGGATGATGGATTATACATAGTGATATTTCTTTGCAACTGTCTTTTAGAACTAAGAACCAGATAAATTAACTTTTAAAAAAGCATTAAAGTGGTGGCAAAGGAATTTGCTAATAAACTGGTACCTCTAGATCTGTGCTGTCCAATATAGTAGCCACAGTCACATCAGACTATTTAAATTTAATTAAAAATTTAAAATTCATTTGCTTAGTCACACTAAACATATTTTAAGTACTCAATGGCCACGTTCAACAGAGCAGACACAGACCATTGCTGTTGTCTTAGAAAGTTCTATTGAACAGCGCTGCTCTAAATGCTGCTAAGTGAATGGATTATGTTGTTGGCAATGTCTTCACATTTGAGCATTATTTTCACCACATGCTCAGGCTTCACTGACCCAGAGCTGAAAAACTGTAGGTAATTGTGAATGTCAGTTCTAAGGAAACAGGAAGCTGAACTACTGTACCATTTTATCATTAGCCTAGTCCTTTTGAACCTAGTAAACCATTCTGCTGTGATCATTTTCAGTAGAAATCACTTCTTTGCATCCAGGTTTATTAGAGGCTTTGTTCTTAAAGTGGAATATTTTAGGGAAAATAGGCATCAGTACATAGTCACTATGGCTTTCATATTTCAAAAGCATTCCGACTGGTAGGAAAACACAAATAAAAATTTTTGAATTGATAATTTTAGGTAAGATTTTAGCATGCTGAAGTATATAGCAAGAAGGGCATCTCATGAGGCAAACTATTTCCTTCTATTTTGTGTTAACAATTTCAATAGGAGGCTTTTGTTTTGAATGTTTAAATAGTAGTTAACAAACATTTGTTAGACTGTCAAACTCTTCGGGTATCATGAATTTATGTTAACATGCTCTTTTTAGGATTGTTCTTTTTTTATGTTTTCTTTTGGGGGCATTTTCATGCAGTGTTAGGATAAGTCCTGACAATGCCTAGAAAATCAGATCAGTGACCTTGGAAAAAATTTACATTCTCTGTTTTATTTCATCATATATAACATCAGAAAAGAAAATTGGGTTTTCGGCTGCCATCTAGTTAACTAGGGAAACCTTTTTTCATTTGTCCCAAAGTATAAGAGCATTCATATTAATAAGTTAAAAATATTAATCTCAGATATGTGTTTTTCTTCTGCTAAGTGTGTGCAAAAGTATAGCTAGAGGAGGATATTAATGTAGATGTAATGAATTTTAATTATCTATTCCTCCCTTGCCCTCAGATCATTTTTGATGGACTATACAGCATATGCTTTTTGTTGTGTAGATAAAATCTATATGAATTTAAAAACCTAAATATAGTAGCCATGGACTACTTAACTCTGCTCCCCCACCCCCAGTTCCTTAGCCTAATGCCCAGGAATTGTGTAACAATTACAGTGGCTAATTTACATTTAACAACTGTTTATTTGTGAAAAAAATTATAAGATGATATTGTTAGGATTTTTTAGTGTTGAAGAATCAACCTTAAGCTCCTTATTTTCAGTGTATGATACTTTATATTCAGAACACTTACCCTTTAATAATTATTTGATCTTCAGAATATCATGTAGCAAGCCAATGAGTACACTATCTGGAGTCTAGGTCTTCTTGAAACATGAGGGACCCATGTGTGTTTGCACCTGACTCATATTAGCTGACTCCTAATGCAGAGTTTCTACCTACACAGAGTTCACTTAAATTTAGTGGAATTACAGATTTATAGCTTATGAATTTCACAAATTTTGTGCCAAGGTTATTTCTAACATTGTTTGCCTCATCTACATGTGTGTTCTATAGAAACCTTTATATGGTATGTATGTATAAACTATAACTAATTAGAAGAGAATCTAAACTCTGGTTGTTTATTACTGTAGCATATGTTTAAATAAATTTATTTTCTGTTTGTTTCTTAGGTTTATACCAGATGATACTACTTTTGATGATGAGCCCAAGGACATAGCCTTAGAAGTGGATTTAACAGCATATAAACCAAAATATTTCACATCTGCTGCAATGGGAACATCAACGGTATTTCTTAACTTTTAAAAATGTGTAACTGGGCTCTATTGTTTTAAGAAAAGGCTTTGCGTACTATTTACTTACAGCATCTTTAGGAATGGAAAGTATTCAAAATTTTAATGCACAATAGTAATGAGACACAAATATATTTGCATTTTTATCTACCACATCTGTTTGAAACTATTTTCAGATTTTTGTTATGCCTAAAGCCTGAGTCAGTCACCTGAGAATGTTTTTTTCTCTTGTTTTTCTCATGTACTTTTATTGAATAGAGTCTTTAATAAGTAATATGTCAGTTATTAATATCTTAGGGAGTAGTAGGAAGGAGGTAACAGATTACCTCAAATCACAGTTAAAACAATACTAGTAGAAATTTAAAATAGTAAAACATTTTTTTCTGCAGATATTGTCTAAAATTATAAAAACAATTGAAGTAGGATAATTCAGGACTACTAGATGTTACATTAATGCTTAATAACAAATAGCCAAAAGATTTCTGTTGAATTAGTTTGCTACTTAGCTACCTACCTTCTCTCTTTTCTTCCTCCCTCCTCCCCTCGTGCCATTAGCCTGTCCACGGTTAGACTCTGCAGCATCCATACAGGGTTCCCATTGCCTTTCCTATGACAGATAACCATGATCTTCTGAGGATGAACTGGTGGCCAAAAGAGGGGTTTCTGTATCTGTCATAGTGGTGAGCACTGTGTGGCCTTGGTTAGTTACCAAGTATAGTAAAACCCCACCATTACGTGATAATTGAAGTCTAAAAGATTTAGTCACATAAAATGTAGAGTCATGTCATTTTCAAAACTGAAAAATGACCAGGGCAAATCTGTCCAGCCAGCCAGTCTGGAGTTACTAGTGTCTGGCTGTATCATCCTCATCTGTCACAGTTCCAGCAGTGTTTTTGTGGTCCTCAGCTCAGGTTTAATTATCAGAATAGGGGTATTCTGAATCTTGTGACTAGCTAGAAGTTCTAAGACAATGGCAGCTATTTTAAGGATCTGATTTCTTAGTTAACTAATTAATTAGTGCTTATTTTGCTGTCCTGATCTGAGGAGATTAGCTCGAAGCAAAAAAAAAAAAAGAAAGAAAGAAACAAAAAGAAAAAAAAACACGATGTGGGACCCACCCTTTGATGAAGATAAAACCTTTAATAGGACCCCCTGAGAATGGGGACTGCTTAGAAGACAGGAGCCAGTCGCTAGACCCATCATGTTATAGATGAATTCCTGTATGATGGGATTTACTATACTTACAATGAATAGATGCCTTTCTCATCAGTGGCTCTTAATCTTTTTTGAAAAATGAACCCCACTGAGATTGTGTTGAAAGCTTCATCAACAGATTCCACATAATTAGCCCTGAAATACCTAGAACTCCAGATGAAAAACACATTTTCACTGATTCATAATCTAACTTTTTCACTAGTGCATTTTTAAAATTTCTTTTCACCACAGTCCACAAACTGATGAATTTTACTCCCAATAATGGAGTGCCTTGCATATAGCAGAGAATTAGGAGGGGAAGATACAGATTAATAGAAATGGTTCCCTTTCCACAAATAGAATACTTTTTATTAAGCATGTCATTTAGCATGTCAACTTTTTTAGCTGACATTAAACATCTAAGTGACAAATATTCTTTAACAAGTTTGGATGGCTGATATTTCCATTTTTATTTGTTATTTTTTCTTTTTTATTGGTGAAAGGTGGAGATCACTTGGGATGAAACTGATCATGAAAGAATTACAACACTTAACAGGAAATTCAAAAAGGAAGAGCTTTTGGACATGGATTTTCAAGCCTACTTAGCTTCCTCTAGTGAAGATGAGGAAATAGAAGAGGAGTTACAAGGTACTTGTTAAGCTTCTGGTGTTCTACATTTGTAAGCTTTTAGATATCTAATCTAGACTTGTTCGTGGAAATATGTCTTTAGCAGTAGTTTAAAAGGGGTACCAAACTATTCCTCTGAGTTGCTGCTTAGTGCAGGGTTACTAGTCGAAATCCTCCCCTCTATGGTCTTTAACTTTTGTCCTCTTGGTGCTGCCGGGCTGCCAAACTGTAGTTTAATCTTATAGCTGTTTCTTTTATGGATCAATAAATGCTCTCAGGGCAAAAGAGGTCTTGAACACTGGGATTATCTCTCTGGTATTCCCTTCTCCTTGATAGTGATTTGGTAATTCTTCACTAATTTGTCAGTTCTTTGAAGTTTGCTTTTCTTTTTTAAACCCCTTTGAAGCTTTACAAATTTTTTAAAATATTCAATCCAATCAGGGAACTCAGTGAAATGGTTGGTCTGAAGTACCTAGCTTGCCATTAATAAAAGCAGAAATTGTGAGATTATCTATATCTTTATTTAAATTTTTTTTGATGATTAACATAATCAGTGGTATATTTTAAAATGGTATGTGCTATTTGTTTAAGTAGCTCATTTTTTAAAAATAGATTCAAAATCCCTCTTTTTCTATATACTGGATCTGCCTCTGCTTGGAAATTTGGTTGTTTGATTGTAATTTCTTATCAGTTTTGGATGATACTGTCTCTATGATGTCATCACATCTTCAATCTTACCTATTAGAATTCCCAATCATGTGAAATTAAGCGTAAGAGGTTTAGTGCTGACAGCAAATGAAGAATCATAAATACTAGACGTAGGTATAAATATT